TCCCAGATGGTATTCAGCAAGCTGCTGCTGTTGTCACTACACACTCTTGGGAGGTCCTGGATCCTGTGTCAAGGAAGATACCAACACCTCCCACCCCAAGGACAGTCTGAGGGAAGCTTTGTGCCCGTGCCAGCCCTCTGCGCCGGAGGAGGATGTATGGAAGGGTGGAGACCTATGGGCTGAGATGGGGGACGCCGGGGGCACCGTGTCCTATGAGCACTGCCCTGGGTAGAAGGTATGGGTGGGCAGCCCAGGCCAGCAGAAGGGCCTCTGGGTTGGGTTTGACCATTAAAACTAACGCCTTCATTTCTCTCCCATGCTTTCTCCTCCGGCCAGGAGCGGAAGGTACATGCCCTTTCTGCTATCTTCGCTTCTTAGCGCTTTTGACTGTGTGTGTGTGAATTCTTCTGTCCTCCCTTTGGGAGCTAGGTTTCCTGTGTGGGGGTGGGGCTGAGGCTGGGAGAGTGGGCTCTGCTGGGCAGGGGTGGAGCCTCCGGGCCTTACGCCGCCCTCCCTCCCTCTCTTGCAGGTTTTCATAGAGCTGAATCACATTAAAAAGTGCAATACAGTTCGAGGCGTCTTTGTCCTGGAGGAATTTGGTAATTACACTATTTTGCTCTTAGGTCTGGACTCACATGGCAGTAACTCAAACCTTGGAGCTCCAGAGAAGGGACTAGGGGCAGGGAGAAGACCACCTCTGCAGAGGAGAGGAGGAGCAGAGTGTCAGGGAGGAAGGAGCCCTCAGGAGAGAGGGAAGGAGGAGGAAAGCAGAGTAGCAGCCACAGGAGAGCAAGGGGCTTAGGCCGGTTTAGAGTCTAGACGCAGGCAGAAGCTCAGCAACGTTAGCACCACTTTCCCTAAATCTGCCGGCCAGTGGTCAGAAAGTTCTGGGGCAGAGCAGACTGGCAGTTCCCAAGCTCTGCTGTGTCCATGTCGCCTGCTGCCATCTCTAGCTGCCCAGCGCTCCACCAGCCTCCCTGGCGTTGTTCTGCCCTCTGCCTAGCCTCTGTGCTAGAGGGGGTGTGGGGAGTGGCAGGCAGACTCACTAAGGGACAGAGAAGCCTAGTGGGCCTCGAGGCAGAGGGACAGTCATAGGGAAAAGCTGGAGCCGGCCGCCCTGGCAGCACTGAGGAAAGGTGTAGCGGTCCTCCCGGGGGCTTTGAGTTCCTGCTGTGTTTGTGCTTCATTCTTTTGTGCCCCTCATCGCTGCTATGAAAACCTTCGTTCTCCAGCAGGTAAAGTGACCTCAGCTCGTGCTGCCTCCCAGGCCCCTGCCTCGGGCCCTGCAGGGGTGGGCGGGCTCCCTTCAACCAGCCGGCTGCTCACATTGCCAGTTTGTCTCTTCCTTTCTCTTCCCGCCTCTTCCTTTCCGCCCCCTCGTGCTGGCTCACTCTTCCAAGTTCTCTCCCTGCTGTGCTCCCTTCTCTCTTCTGCCAGAGAGATGTGTGGGRACTCTTCCAATTTAGGAGAATGACCCAGGGCTTCTTGCTCTAAGGAGTTCAGTCCCTGCTAACTCTGGGTGCCCGAATTCTACCTCCCAGGGTCAGAAGAAGGTGTGGCCAACTCTCATCCGACTTTGTCTGGCCTCCAGGGGATGCCATGTCCCTCCTCCCAGTCTCCTGGGGGCCACAGTGATGGCTGGGCCTGGGGGCCCTACTCCTTCCTCTGGCCAAGCAGAGCCCCTGCATGGTTGGGGCAGGGGGACTCCTAGTCTTGCATTCTGGGCTGTGGACATGTGTGTATTTGCCTGATGCTCCCTGTCACCTCCCTTCCCGGGTGCTGTACTCCCTGTCTCCTGCTCGGTGTGTCTGCTCCAGAGCCCTCTGACGCTCTCCCTCACACAGGCAGGCCTGGGCTTCTCATGTCACTCAGGGAAGGACACTTCCAGATCTTACGGGTTTAGTGTCATGTTCCTTCTTCATCCAGCCCCAGGACCTCTGTAGGGGCTGGCAGTGAAGGGAACTATGTTTAACATGAGACTTGCGGGCTGGTGTCAGGGCTGAGTTCACAGGCACCTCAGCACGGTGAGGCAGAGGCTAGCGACCATGTCTGCCCCACTGCAGCTCCACAGGGGCCTGGACAGCAGCCAAGGCTGGAGAAAGGCCAGCCTCTGCCACCCGGGCTCCCAAAGAAGTGGGTGGACACAGCCATCAAGTAAAAAGCCACTGCAGACTTCAGAGGACTAGCCGAGGAGTCTGGCTGGACAGAAGCCTCCCGTAGCCTCTGCTCTGTCGTACAGCCACTGTGAGAGGCCACAGAGGGAAAGGGGACCCTGGTGCCGGGCGCCGCCGCCTGGGGGACTGGCACTGTCGCTCTTAGTTTTGAACTTTCTGTTTTGTCTCTTGCCTGTCCGGTTTTAGTTCCTGAAATTAAAGAAGTGGTGAGCCACAAGTACAAGACACCAATGGTGAGTATGCCACCCCAGCCTGGTGGCCACAGTGCACAGGGCTCCCTGGGGACCTAGGACAGGAGGGGTGGGCTCTCTTGGGGACTTGGTCTAGATGCAAAGATTCAACTGAAGCAGGAACAAGTCTGCCACTGTGGGAGATAAACACACATGTACTGATCCCTCTCCCAGCAGGACACACACGAGGTCTGGCCTGGGGCTCCTGGAGCCCAGAGGCCGTGCCCAGAGCTAGGGCAGGAGCTGCCTGCCTGGCAGACCCTCCACTGTGTAGTTTGGGAGTCTCAGTGACTGATCTCCCTGTTTTCCTGTCCTCTGTAGGCCCACGAGATCTGCTACTCTGTGTTGTGTCTCTTCTCGTATGTGGCTGCAGTCCGTAGCAGTGAAGAGGACCTCAGAACTCCGCCCCGGCCTGTTTCCAGCTGACGGAACAGGTGAAGCAGCTGGCCCATCCCAGGGCTCACCCCTTGCCTCCTGCTGCTCCCAAGTGCACCAAGTGACCGTGACTGAGAAGGGGATGATGGGTGTACGTTCTGCCAGCCCTGCGCTGTGGCTTCGCTGGTCCCCAGTTATACGTCTTTTGAGTGTGTCTTTGCGTGTGTCTGTGACAGAGCTAAGCTAGTCCCTTCCACCTTCTCCCTGTCCTTATCCAGAAGACCAGCCTACTGTTCCCTCGGGGCTCAAGAGTGTGTTGGGGGGGACAGTGTGAGTCCACCCTTGCGTGTCCTTGAGACGTTGTGTTGTGGTTCCTCGTCCTCAGCATCGTGATCCTCCAGTGCAGGATTCCTGCTCCCCGTCCTCTGTGATCTAGCATGACAGGGCGCCTTGGGCAGTTCCACTCTGGGCAGTGAGGGAAACCTGCCCTGCCCTTCCAGACGAGGGGTGGGCAGGAAAAGGAAAGCAAGAGGCCGGGGCAGCTGGAGTGAGTGGCAGCCCCCCAGCTTCCCTGTGCATTTCCCAGTAGCAGCTCCTGCCTGTGGCCGTGAGCTCTGCTGCTGCCCACCACAGCTCCATTGCCACCGCGGGGCAGCACTGAGGGGCCACTGTGTGCCGAGCAGCAATTTTCCCATGGTCACCTGGCCTTGGGCATGAGAAGACAGAGTGGTTGGGGCAATAGAGTCCCAGAGACCGCTGGCTGCTCTGCCAGAGACCAGGGAGAGGCGGCCAGGACCAAGTTCATTGTACATGCCCGTATGAGGCAGTGTCTCCTGGTGTCAGGTGCCAGGAGGGAAAGATGGCCTGGGGGTGGGGGGATGATTGTACATATCTCAGCTCCTTGTTATTTATAGAAAATGTACAGCTGTGTGAATGTGAAATAAATGTCCTTAACTCCCCTGGTTCTTGGTTGCCTCCTTTCAGCCCAGGCTTGAGGAACCTTGTGTTAAATGATGCCTCCTCTTGGCCCAGGGCTGAAGAGGCTGTCCCTGGGCTCTAAGAAACCACCATGGAGTAAAAGAATGAAGGAGATAAGGTCATCCATGACCGGGCACTGGTGTATGAGCCCCCGGCTCCTGCCTCCCGCTCTCTGGGCTTGGGATCACAGAGAGAGGCTGTGGGAGGAAGCTCCTTTTTCCTGCAGCACCAGGGGGCCCTGTGGGGGCTGGGGCGCCCGTGAACTGGCCACTAGAGGGAGCAGCCAATCTGGTCATTGATATGTGAACAAATTAATTTAACAATGACAGAAAAGCCAAGCCCATGGTCCTCTGTCCCCAGTAGAGCTAGAGTCCAGAGAGAAACTGTGACATGGCCTGGGCCACTCTGGGCTCTTGGCCAGCATTGTGTCTCCCGTGGGTTAGAACGCTAAGAAACAACCCCAGGACCAGCCTTTGTGAAATTTCTATGCCATGGGGGAAACTGGCACTCCCTCACTGGTGGGCCACCTCTGAGACCTGCTAGCTTCCCCCTCCAACAGGGAAACAGGCCTGATGGTGCTGAAGCTCCTGGCCCTTCCCCCGCCTGCTTCCCAGCGTCCCGAGTTGGATAGGCCCGTCTCCCACAGGAGTCACAGGAGGGGATGGGCTCCTTGCTCACTGTGATGCCAAAGCAACCCATCAGCTCTCCTCAAAGGCCTCGTGGGCACAGAACTTCATTAGGCTGCACAGTGCCCCAGGCCCTGGGTTCTGGGAAGGAAAGCCTGGRTCCAGCCGTTACTGCCACCTTCCTCACCACAGCCTGAGCTGCCTCAGCTGAGGAGTGAATGCCTGAGGGAGGACCAAGGTCCCTCTTGTGTGTTTTATGGATTCAGGATTCCACTGTGGGCTTTGTGTCATCATCGGGGAATTAGAATACCTGCCAAGATCAAGTATTTGATCTTGTATTTCTGTGAAAATAAGCACACGGGGCAAGAAGTCAGTCCCGTGACTGCACTGGTCTTTTATTGTACATGGAGAAGATGTGCCTTCCTGAAGGGCCTGCTCCCAATCACCACTTCCTAAGCCTACCCACTTTTTACCCCAGAGATCTGAGAGCTCCCTCAGCAGCTATCAAAGTTTCCTCTGTGCAGAGCCCACTAGGCTTGCCCACCTAACTGCTGCCCTTCCTGTCCCTCCCTAGTCCAGCCCAGAGTACACACACACACACACAACAGCAGGAAGACGGCTCCTCCAGCGCCTCTCCAGGCTCCTGGCACATGGGCTGGCATCCGGTTGTACCTGTGACACAGGCTCCCTTTGAGTAGACAGGTTTCCTGATGGCCACCCCTGGACCAGGAACCAGGGCTCAGCTTCTTACTTGAGCCCTGGGTGTTAGGGTGGTCTGGAATACATACCTGGCTGCCCCTGGGAGCCAGCCTGGTCACTGAGGCACTGCAGAAGAGAAGGGAGCCCATGCCACCTGAGTCTTCCCAGTTTTTCAGAAGTCAGGACCCATCAGCCATGACAGAGTCAGAGCAAGCACTTAGGCCAGGATGGCCGAGCCCAGGGTCCCCACCCCTGCCCTGCTTTCTGCACCTCCAAGGCTCTGGGTAGGCTTAGGGAGTGGTGATTGGGAGCAGGCCCTTCAGGCTCCTCACCTCTCACCTCCAGACGGCACTCACACTGTGCCTCGCCCTGCAAGTTGGTGGCCCTGCAGACATAGACACCCCCGTCAAAGGGGCAGGGCTTTCTAATCTCCAGGGTCAACACTCCCTGCTTGCTGAACATGCGGAAGCGGGCATCTTCTCCCAGGTTCAGGCCATTCTTGAACCAGGAAATCTTGGGCTGTAAGTCAGGTAAGGAGAGGGAAGAAGGAAGGGGGGGAGGGAGGGAGGAAGAGAGCATCTCAGGCAAGAGGGACCCGACAGGAACCCAGGGAGACTGGAGTCCCAAACTACTCCCAAGGCTGGGAATGAACCTGGAGCCAAAGTGAGTACCAAGGGGAAGGAAGCTGATAGGCACCTGGGGGAGCAAAGGCAGAAAGAGGCAGGCTGGGGAGAGGACCCTGTCTCCTGGACCAGGGCCGGCAGTCCCTACCTTGGGGCTACCCCGGACAGCACAGCAGAGGACAGTGTTGTAGCCTGCGATGACTGAGCGGTTCGCCAAGGGATGGGTGAAGCTAGGAGCCTCAGAGAAGTCCAGGGCCTTGTATTTGGGTGGCTCATATGTGATGCCTGTTGGTGATAGGACTAGTACCAAGAGACCCACCTCAAGCTAGGCTTCCCTCCCTACACAACTCCCCGGGGGTGGGAGTGAGGGTACAGCACCTGGTCTGGGGATAAAGACAGGCTCCTTGGTGGTGGCTGCCCTGTCGCTGGGACCCACCATGTTGTGGCTGAAGACCCGGAAATAGTAGCCATTGCCAATGATGAGCTCGGACACCACACAGTGGGTACGGCGGTAATGCTCCAAGACAGTGAACCATTCCTGGGGGGCGGGAGGCAAGGGAGGGATCTCTGGGTCCCCCCTGCCAGGAGTCTCTTGGGAACCCCTGGTGACTCCACCCCTACTGTGAAGGGAGCCAGATCAGCAGAGGTGAAAGGGGACGAGTGGTAAGGACAGGGAAGGACAGCTGGACCTCAGGACGACCCATGGGGCCTAGGCTCACCATGGTCTTCTTGTCAGCTTTCTGTACTGTGTAACCCCAGATCTCTGTGTTGCCATYATCTTGGGGTGGCTTCCACTCCAGAGCCACATTGAAGCCCCAGGCCTCAATGACCCGAATATCCTGAGGAGGACTTGGCTTGTCTGCAGGAGACAGATCTGGTTGGATCACTGCACCTCCTGATGCTGCCTGAGCAAGAGCGGGTGGCACCAGCCCCTACGAGTCCCTCCCTCTGCCAGCCAGGACCTGGCCGGCCACCTTCAGCAGGGATGGAAAGTGGGATGCTGTGGGTTGAGTCTCCAGGCCTGGCCTGGGCCCCACAGCCCAGCTCAGGCATGAGAGACAACTGGGCTCAGAGGAAGGTCCCAGGGCCACGCACCCACGATCTGCAGGACCAGCGTGGCCTTGTCCTCCATGTTCTCGATGCGCACTGTCACCTGGTAGGTGCCTGAGTGCATGCGGTGGGCAGCCCGAATGAACAGGATGGTGTCCGTGGGGCTGTTGCGGATGCTCACCTCCTCGCCTGCCAGTGGCTGCCCCTCTTTGGTCCAGGTCACCTGAGGCCGGGGCTTGCCCTAGTGGGAAGGACTGCTTAACCCTGAACTGGCTCTCTCCAAGGGCTGGCCACTACCCCAGCCTCAAGTACATGGGTGAGGCCGCCGGGTCTGGTCAGCCTTGAGCCATCCTTCTGCTAGATGTGGATAACACAGTGTCCTCTCCCCTCAGGGACAGGGAATGGGGCCAGCCTACCTGAAAAGGAATGAGGAGGTTCACAGGCTCCCCGACCTTCTTCTGGATGGTCTGGCGCAGGTGCCTGGGCAGCTGAAGCCGTGGCCGTTCTTTAGGTACAGAGAGGGTGTCTGAGCAAGGGCCCTTAATGGCCCCAGCCCTCAGGGGCTCCAAGCCCATTCTCTCTTGAGGTAGGGCCCAGATGGCTGCAGCTAAGAAAAAGCTGCCTGCTGGGCGGAGCAACCCAAATCCGCTCAGCCCCAAATGATTCACAAAACTCCTGCTTCCCTTGAGCTTCACCACACTGCTTCAAGAGGCAGGAATCAGAAAGGGTAAGCAACTTGTTTGAGCTGCACAGCTGATAAATCACAGGCTTTGAGACACTATGCTCTCTGCTGCCTCTTTTCCATCTAGAGAACCAATTCTTACATGATTGATCCTTTGTTGGGACAAGGAATAGAGGAATAGAAAGTGGATCCCAGATGACCTTATCTGATCCCAAGGCCCAGTGCCCAGTCCTGGGGACATGGACAATACATTCCTGTTGGAGATGAGGAACTCACAGCACAGAGCTTGGAGATTGTGGCCTATATTCTCCCTGTTCTAGAACTGGTGGGCTGACATGGAAAAAACAGGACCATTAGACATGGATGAAGGCCTGGCCCCTCCTCTGACAGTCTCCCTGACTGTTCCCACAGGACATCGAGGGCCTGGAGTGTCAGTAGCAGGTCTTGTGACGAGTGGCACTCACGCAGTATCTCCTGCACTGTAACAGGTTCCTTGGTGGTGACAGGGGCTCCAGGTCCTGCCACATTGTGTGCCCGCACACGGAACAGCAGCCGGGCCCTGGTAGGCAGGTCCTTCACCAGCATGGCTGTGCGCTCTGTCAGCCCCTGCAGGGCAGCCACCCACTCAGAGCCTGGGAGGGGGCAGGGAGGTCAGGCCACAGGCTGTGTCATACCCACCCTGCTGCCCACCCTTCCGAAGGCAGGCTGGGGGCCAGCAGGGTGCYGGTGCTGGCCTGGCAGGGGGCAGTGCCCCAGGCAGCACTCACAGCCCTCCTGGCAGTATTCCACACTGTAGCCATCCAGGCCACCTGCGCCCACGCGTTCTGGAGGCCGCCACTTGAGAGAGACTGTGGTGTCCGAGACGTCCTCCACGGCCAGGTGGGTGGGTTCACCGGGAGGGCCTGGGAAAGGGAGAACAGAGAGGGTCTGAGTGAGCTTGCTCTGTCCAGGAAACCTGGAGACCCATGACCCAGACCCTCAACGGCTCGCCAGTCTCAGCCTGGTGGACCTGCCCTTCGGCCGGCTTTCACACACTTTCAGGAATATTTCCACTGCATTAAAAGATCTCCAGGCTGGCTTACAAACAAACAGCAACTACAAAAGAAGGGCCTAAAGAGGAACAGATAGCCAAGAGGACACACGGCTGCTTACAAGGAGCCACCTCTGTTGGTGTCTGGAATGCTATAAATGCAGTATTATAATAATAGTAAAAAAAGTTGGCCAGGCATGGTGGCGCATGCCTGTAATCCCAGTGGCTTGGGAGGTGGAGGCAGGAGGATTGCAAGTTCAAAGCCAGCCTCAGCAACTTAGTGAGGCCCTAAGTAACTCAATGAGACCCTGAATCTAAATCAAATACAAAGGAGGCCTTGGGGCTTGAAGCAGACTGGGGGGGGGGGGGGGGGGGGGGGGGGGGGGGGGGGGGGCACCATGGGTGCCCCTCGTCTGGCTGCCACGCTGCAGAGGGAAACTGCTGCTTATGCAACTCACAGGACAATGGACATCAGCACCCCTGATCCCAGAATTCTGCAAACAGTTTTACCATCTGGGTTGGGTCACTGGGACTGGAGGAGGAATTAGCTTGAAGCATGGGACTGCATAAATTTCTTCCTACACCAAAGACCTATGAGTCCACTTGTCCGTGGAGCAATGAAATCTACATTGCTCCTTCAGGAGTGCAAAAGGAATGAATTCAGCCAGAAGATGCGATTGTGATATAAATGAGCAGGATATMAGTGGACCTCCAGCATCTAAGAAGCTAAAAAAAAAAAAAAAAACAGTGCACTCCTCTTTTATTGAAAGACTACACAATGAGAGAAGCAGGCACAGTGATTCATACGCACTCTAAAGCTTCTGTCATGGCAACCCTCCTCTTTCCAGGACAAGAGTTTAAAATTACACATCAAGAGATGATCAAAAGAATAAGGAAATAAACCTCAGGAGGGTATTTTAGATATGATTATATGTTAGTGTTATTATTGAGAACACACCTGAAGGAAAAGACCTCAAAGAACGAATGGCCAGTCCAATACCCGACTCCTGTGCAGTCAGGCACCATGGAGTGTGTCGGGGGGGGAGAAACAGGGGAGAAGGCTAAAACCAGGTGTGAAAGCTATGACTGTTTGCTATTGCTGTATCGATGAAGAAAATAGGACTTGAACCTACACAGCTCCCAAATGGAGAAAATGGAATGGTAAAAGCCAAACAAAAGTTTAATTATACAAAACCAAACCTGATTATTGTTTAAGTAAAACTTGATCATTTTTTAAATGACTCAAAAATTGCTAAAACACCATTAATTTGTCCCTAAATACTACAGGTGATCACATTTAATCTTTTGACATTGAATGGTATTTGCTCATGTCCTCGTAATTTTAAATGACAGGACAGTGGAATAAAAGTTTTTTACTCGGTGTTTTTATATTTAAAAAAGCAGGGGCTGGGGATGGGGTTGAGCACCCCTGGATTCACTCCCCAGTACCAAAAAAAAAAAAAAAACTGATATAAAACAGAATATCCTATATGATTCAGTGAGCTGCACAAACCAGATGTCAGTCTCAAAGGAAAGCCTGGACCCTCTCCCCACAGACACACCTGATACCTGCCACCCCCCCACTCTGGGCCCCCTCTCTGGGCCCAGGACGCCTTGCCTGCCCTGCCACAGACAGCTGGTTCTTGAAGAGGAGGTGTCCTCACATCCTCCAGCATCTGTCCCACCCTCCCAGCTGCCTATTACAGGGATGAGGAAACTGAGGATTCAGGGAGACAGTGATTCCAGATGGCCTCCTGGGGACCATGGAGCTGTCTCTGCAAACCACGCCTCCGATGATTGGTCCAGGGCTCTTTCCACACACAGATGCCCTTCAGACTCCTCAGGTCCCCACTTCTCTTGCCCCATCCCATACATGAAAAACCTGGGTTGAAGGGAGTGGCCAACAGAAGACAATGCAGTATGCCAGGCACCCTGTCCGCACCACACTACCACATTTCACCCTAACAGCAGCTCTGTGAAGTGCAGTGTCACTATCCTCACGGTGCAGTTGGGAAAAGGAGCCAGGGTCAGGATGGTTTGGCTCAGTTCCACCCCCACAGCTATCTGCAATAGTCAACAGTCTGAGGTAGGGGATCTGGAGCAGGCCACTGAACTCCTCCCAGCCTCAGTTTCCTCATCTGTAAAACGGGACAGATTATCCCCGACTGCACATTAGATGAGACCAAGGATGTTAAGTAAATGTCCAGTGTGGCGGCCGCCTTTTAGCAGAGCAGCTGTGACTACATGACCCCTTGACCGTGATGGCCTGGGGACTGTGCCAGGGGCAGGCTCACCGATAGGCATGAAGGGCTGGGAGGCAGGGCTGGGCCTGGACATGCCCACGGCGTTAACTGCGTAGACGCGCATCTCGTAGGCCACGCCCTCGATCATGCGCCTGGCCTCGTGGCTGAGCTCCCGCAGCAGGTCGAAGTTGAGCCGCATCCACCGGTAGCTCTTTTTCTTCTTGCGCTCCAGGATGTAGCCTGGCCAGGGTGAAGCGGGATCTCTGGTCAGGGGCCCAGGCATCCTGGGGCCGCTGCCCTTGGCTGACCCCTGTGCCCTGGTGCTCACCCAGGACCGGCTGTCCGCCGTCGTAGGCAGGCGGCTCCCACTGCACCGTGCAGGAGTCCTCGCCCACGTTGCTGATCTTGGGGGCCGCAGGGGCATCTGGCACATCTGGAGAGGAGGGAGGACCCACATCAGCCCTGCCCCACGCAGGCTTGCTGGTCCCTGACCATCCCAACCAACAACTCCAGGCTGCTTCCACTCCCCTAAAGCCAAAGAGATCTTTCTAGAATGCGTTTCTGATGATGTCTTAGGCCTGCACTCAGCCCCTTCTGGCTCCCCACTGCCCAGAGTCACCCCCATCTCAACTCCTATTCTCTACCTCCCCGGGGCCTCCACCTAGGAGGAATCCTGTCATCCATCCTCCAAACCCCAAAGCCTTCCTCGCCTTCTGCCCCTGCAGTCTCCTCTGCCTGGCCTTCCTTCCCCCACCACCCCATCTTCTCAGCCTTCTACCACCCCCTGCCTCCAGGCACAAGGGATTGCTGCATCTCAGCACCCCCACAGCACTTCAGACTCGGCTCACAAGCAGTAATGTCGCAGGAAATGGCATTTCTGCTCCATCTCCCCCTAGCACAAGGCTCCTTGCAGCAGCAAAACCTGCTCCATCTATGACACGGCCCAGCCCAACACATGTCCTGTGACATTCATTGAGGGACTGAATAAGTGAATGGGCCCTCCCTAGGGTTGCTCTTGTGTCTTCTCTGGCCTGGACCTTGCTGGCCTCACCGATGACCTTGACTGTGAGGTTGACCTGGTCCTCGCCCACAGGGTTCTTCACTGTGACGGTGTAGACACCCTCATCCTCTTTCTCTGCCCCTTCAACTGTGAAGATGCTGCGGTCCTTGGTGGTCTCCACATGGACCCGGCCCTCGGTCTCACATAGCAGCTGAAGGGGAGGAGAAGGGGAGAGAGGCCCAAGTCAGAGGCCCCCTGAGGCCCCTCCAGCCTCTGCAATAGCCAACAACCCTGAGGTGGGGAGGAACTCAGCACCAGATCCGTGGGAAGTCCAAGCCTGAAGGAAACTGCTCCCAGGAAAGCATCCAGTTCACGACCTTCACGTGGCACCTACACTGGGTAGGACACTGGGCCAAGGGGCTCTAGCTTTGGCTTTGTCTTAGGACCTTGGACAAACACCTCTGTGCCTCAGTTTCCCTGTTCACTGGGAATAATACCATCCCACAGAGCTACGGTAAGGATCCATCAAGATGCCAGGTGCAGAAGGAGCAGTGGCACCGCCTGTAATCCCAGCGGCCAGGAGACCAAGCCAGCCTCAGCAAGAGCAAGACCCTGTCTCTAAACAAAATACAAAATAGGGCTGGGGGTGAAGCAGACCTGGTGCCCAGGCAGCTGCAGTGACTGGGGAAAGCCAGGGAAACCCACTCCCTCGCTGGGAGGAAGCCCCAAGTCAAGGGAGCTGGCAGCCCCATCACAAGGGCTTCCTGTCAAGGTCAAGGGCATTAACGCCTTTGTGAGGGCCTGGTCAGTTACCTACTCCATAGTGTGAGTGTACCTTGAGGTGTGAGGGTCCATCCATGGAGACCCTGCCTGGGCAGGTACAGGTACCTATCTGGCCAGGTGTGGAGGTCCATGGAACCTTTACCCAAGTGGACACCACGTGGGTAGAAATGACGGAGAACAATGAGCCGTGTCCTGACGTCAGCCTCACTCACCTTCTTGTCAAACACCCACTCGTCACTGGCACCTGCGTCCTCTGGAGCATCCGGGGCTGGCTGGGCTGGGGCCTTCTTCCCCTGGGGACAGAGTAAGACGGGAGTAGGGAACAGAGGGGCTCCTCATCCCCAGCCCCTCCTGCCCGCTACCTGACACCTGCCTAGTCCTTCCTCACGTCCAGCAGAACCCCAGGCTCCCAGCGGGTGGCCGGCCCCATGTGGGGTGGGGTGGGTGGTCTCACACACCATTACAGAGGGGAAAGTAAGGGGGAGCCACAGTACCTGGGTGATGGTCTTCTGCCAAATCACAGTGGGAGCAGGGTCCCCAGAGATTGGGACATCCAGGCGCAGCTTGTTCCCAGCCACAACCACAATGGTATCCGGTGTGCGGCCCGGGCAGTCCAGGTGGATCTTGGGAGGTTCTAGGGTGCAATGGCACAGGTCACAGGAAAGGGAGAGGCAAGGGAGGAGACAGGTCACTGGGAGGGGGTACCAGGGCCTATGTTATTGGGGGAACACACACACACACACACAAAAAAGCTTCCATGGCCAAAAAAATTAGGAAGCCCTGAGTGAAATCAAGTCCAGTGTGTTTCCTTATTGCAGAACTTCTCAGAGCCTTTAACATATCACTGACCTCCTGAATTGACAGAGAGGTGGATCAATTAAGTGTTTCCCAAATCTCCTTCACCGTGGAACCCTTTTTCAATGAGTTAACATTAACTGAACCCAGTTTGGAAAGCAGAGAGCTGGAGAGAGCAGGCCTCCTCCTGGACTGTTCTGAAGTTAGAACACTAAAATATCTGATTAAGGCTTGACCTAGGACTGGGGCTGGGGCTCAGTGGTAGAGCACTTGTCTAGCACGTGTGAAGCCCTGGATTCAATCCTCAGCACCGCATAAAATATAAATAAACAAGTCAGGTGTGGTGGTGCACTACTGTAATCCCAGAGGTTTGGGAGGCTGAGGCAGGAGGATCACCCAGTTCAAAGCCAGCCTCAGCAAAAGCAAGATGCTAAGCAACTCAGTGAGATTCTGTCTCTAAATAAAATATAAAATAGAGCAGGGGATGTGGCTCAGTGGTTGAGTGCCCCTGACTTCAATCCCTGGTACCCCAAAATAAATAAATAAACAAACAAGCAAAATAAAGGCATTGTGTCCATTTAAAAGTAAAAAAAAAAAAATTAATTGTATGGAGATGTAATAACAAAACCTCACATCTGCAACGCCTTTTGACATCTCGCACATTCTCTTATCCCCCTAACCATGCTATGGAAGATGCGCCAGCAACACCCCCATTTCAGAGTTGAGGAAACTGAGGCCAGAGAGATCATAACTGACCACGGTGACAAGTGGCAGAGCTAGAGCTGGTCGTCAGGCCCCCCACCCAGGACCCTTGCTCTTCCCCATGTCTGGAGTGGAGGGGAGACGTGGCTGGGTGTGGGGAAGTGGGCAGAGCACAGGGGCCCAGGGACTCACCCTGTCTGGGCACAAAGTCAATCTTGACCTCTGCAAGAGAAAGAAGAGTAAATGGCACCAGGGCCAGGGCAGGGACCAGCCCCGAGGGCTCCTGGTCCTGCTGCCCCCACCGCACCCTGGAGCTGCTCACCCATGAAGTGGAGTTTGGCTGACAGGTTGCAGGCGAAGCCCTCGGGCACAAAGCTGTAGTCGGCCTCGTCCTCAGGTGTCACATCGTCAATGGTCAGCTTGTGAACCCTGCAGGGCAGCRGTGGCTCAGGGGACCCCACTGGGCCACGGACCCCTGGGCCCACAGACACCCTGCTCCTCTGTGTTCTGGCTCTTTAAAAATGCTCCATTTCTCCGTTTTCACATTTCCCAGCTCCCTCGACTGTTTTCACAGGTGGGCGGCATGACAGCGGTTTCTACACAGTGTCCCCTTGGCCGGGCCCTAGAGGCCAAGCAGGGCTGGTCGGTAATCTCTGTGACCTCGGGCCCAGCACGGCAGCCCAGATGCGCAGCCAGGAGCAGAGGCTGGAGAGCAGAGGCCTCTGGCCAGAGCCGCCTCCGCAGCAGCCTGTCCCCGGGCTCCGGTCACAAGTGGGGGGCAGGGCATGGGCTCTGACCTGTGGATCTGGTACTGCAGGTCCTGCTGCGTCTCTGATGGACTCTCCCCGTCTCTCCCTATTTTTCTGTCTCCGTATAACTGTCCTCCCGTCTCTCTTCCTCTCTCGCCATCTCTTCTGTCTCTGCCTGTCCCTCTCCCCATCTCTGTGTGTCTCTGTCCGCCTGCCCCCTGCCACCCCGTGCACTCACCGCCCAATGTGGGACACCTTTATGCGACTGTCTGGCACCAGCTCCTTCCCGTTCTTCAGCCACACGCCGCGCACGTTCTCATCGGAGACCTCACACTTGAACACAGCCTGGTCCTTGGCGCCCACYGCCAGGTCCGCGATGCTCTGGTACACCTCCAGCTTTTTCTCTGGGGGGCAGGAGGGGACAGTGAGCCCGGGAGAGGGTCAGGTGCAGGGGTCAATCCCTGCGGGTGCTCGGGTACCGTGTGCTCGTCTGGCAGGTGTGAGTACGTGATCACGCGTGTGCATGTGTGACGTGGTGTACCTGGTGGTGCCATGTACACAAGGAACCTGGGGTTCAGCTGCCCAGCCCAGCTGGCCCTCCCAACACCCTCTGAAGTGGCTCCTCAGTAATCCTGTTTTACAGGTGAAAGACAAGGCACAGGTAGCCAAGTGACAGCTCAAGGTCACACAGGCCTTGGCCCCAGGTTTGCCTGATCGCTCCATGAGGCTGGGTGGGGTTGAGGCTGAGGGCCCGCTGCCCCTCCCGGGGCCTCACCCTGCACGATGAGCTCGGCCAGCGCCTGGCCCCCGCTGGTGCGCAGGGCGTAGTGCCCCGCGTCCTCCAGCGTCGCCTCGTTGATGATCAGGTGGTGTCTCCGTCCGTCCTTCTTGAACCGGTATTTGAAGGTCTCCTCCCGGGTCAGCTCCACCCCATCTTTCAGCCTGGCCAGATGGGTGGGCAGCAAGGGCTGTGGCCTCCTCTGGGAAGAGGACCCCACCGGCTCCCTGACCACATCCCCAGGCCCCTGGCACCCACCATTTGACCTGGGCCCCCTCCTCGGACACTTCGCACTCAAACTCCACGCGCTGCCCCACCATCACCAGCTGGTCCTCCAGGGCCCGTGTGATCAGCACAGGGGGCTCTGTCCAGGCAAGGACAGCATGAGGGCCAGCCCCCCACAGCCGTGGCTCCCTTCCCTGGGCCTCTGGGTCCCCAGCCCACCTTTAACGAAGAGCTCGGTGCTGCACTTCTCACCGCCCACCACGCACTGGTAGGCCGCGTCGTCGGCCAGCGAGCACTGGCTGATGGTCAGGGTGCGCTTGGTGCCAACAGACTCGAAGATGTACCTGCGCCGGGGCCACAGGGGAGTGCCGGGGGGCCACAGACGCCCTTCCAGCCTGGGTGCCCCATCCCATGCCCCCCGCCCAAGCCGTCCAGGAGGGACTTACTTGCTATGAGACAGAAGGGGCCATTGGAGCATCCCCACGGGAGGAAGTGAGACCCAGAGAGAGACCAAGAGGAGACAAGGGCAGAGTCAGAAAGATGGGAGTAGATCCAGGGAGGGAGCCATGGGGGGCGACACAGAGACACAGGGGTGGGTGGGCAGGAGGATGGCCCACCCGCCCCAGCCCAGGATCKCGCCCACCCTGCTGACCTGCCGCTCATCTGGATCTCCTGTCCGTTCTTAAGCCACTTGACCTCGGCGTCAGGGTCGGCCAGCTCCACTGTCAGCCGGATCTTGTGGCCCTTGCTCACCTGGTAGGCCGGCTGCAGCTTCTTCTGAAAGGCTGAGCACCACCCCTCAGCCCCAGCCAGCCTGCTGCCCGCACCCTGCTCCCCCAGGCACAGCATGGTGGCTGCGGCAGGCACCCATGTCCTCCGCCAGCCCCACGTCTCTCCCTGCCTCTGCCTCTCTGTGTCTCTACTATGACAGCTTCGCCATCTCTCTTCCCTCCCTCTCTCTCTCTCTTGTCTTCCTTGAGGTCCTCTCCACCTGGTTGGTTTAGGGACAGGGTTAGAAGCTTCCAGAAAGACAGAAGCTTGTCAGAAAGCCAGGGAGGGGAAAATGGACCTCCTCTTCTTCTTGCCCCTGTTTTAACAGCAACCCCAGTTTTGCACTCCTACCGGATGCACCCCACCCAGCGCTCCCCAGTTCAGCTCTTGAGGCCAATGTCCTGTGCCCTGTGCTGCACGAGGGACACAGGAGTCATCGATGACTGGCCCAAGGCCACCAGCCCCACTGGTATGTGGCCGAGCTGGGTCTGGAGCCCAGGGCTGGCCCACGATGAGCCTCCTCTTGCAGTCAGGATTGTAAACCCAGCACCGYGAGGGAGCCGGGCTCCACCTGCCGCACAGAGGTGGATCCCGAGCCCTCAGATGCCCTGATGGGGCCTGGAGCCTCTGGGGCGGGAGCAGAGCTCTGCCTGGCGTTCTGTGGTCTTGAGCTAGCTCCTTAACCAACCTCTCTGTGCCTCAGTTTCCTCACTTGTAAAATGGACATGATAATGGCCCCTACATCTGGGTGTTGGGAGAAGCAAATAAGGTAACATGTAAATCACTTGGCACCTGGCTTACTAGGTCCTTGGGGCTTTTTGTTGTCATTGTTTTGTTTTTTGCTGTTGTTACTATTACTACTCTCACTACAAGATGTGCCTGTCCCCTGGGACTTCCTCTGCCCATTTGCTGCTCCTCAGTCCCCTGCAGGCCTTGGCCAGAAGTTCAGAGGTTCATCATCAAGAGATTCCCAATACCAACGGGGGCCACCATGCAGGTCAGGGCTAGGCCGCCGTCCATGCAACCGGGTCTGAGAGGCAGTGGCTCAGGGACCCTGGGCAGGTGGCCAGGGAGGAATGAACCAGCTCCCCAGAAGCATGTGCGTGTGTGTGTGTGTGTGTGTGAGGGGAGGAGCTCACTCTCCAAGGCCCTGCCTGGACACTGAAGGTCCTTACAGAGTGGACTCACTGTGTGCCAGGCACCATGCTAGACCCTGAGGACACGGGGTTGAGCAGGCAGCACGGCCACTGTTGTCCTGCTCACACCAGCCTTTGTCCATCAGATGATGGGGAAGGGCTAGCCTGGGCCCTCCTGCTTGACCTGCCTGGAAGGAAGATGGGCTAACCCATGGCCTCCTGCTTTGCCTATCTGTGAAGAGGACCAGGCGGCCGGCTCTCGGGCTAAGGCAGCCTCTTCCCTCTTCTTCCCAGGTGGGGAGGGATAACCAGGTTTCTTCCCTTTTCAGAGAGGGTCGGAGAAAGAAGGGGCCACCTAGTTTTGACACAGTGAGGAGGGTTAACTTGTGGTCCTCTCTGAGCTAACCTCAGCTTCATTTTCTGTCTGTGAGGAGCGGAGCTAACCTGGGCACTGGGAGGCGTTAACCTGGCCCTGCTCCTCTCCAGTCCCTAGGCTGAGCCAGGCTCCTTCTCCTCTGTCCCTCCCTGGGCTGAGCCAGGCTCCTTCTCCTCTGTCCCTCCCTGGGCTGAGCCAGGCTCCTTCTCCTCTGTCCCTCCCTGGGCTGAGCCAGGCTCCTTCTCCTCTGTCCCTCCCTGGGCTGAGCCAGGCTCCTTCTCCTCTGTCCCTCCCTGGGCTGAGCCAGGCTCCTTCTCCTCTGTCCCTCCCTGGGCTGAGCCAGGCTCCTTCTCCTCTGTCCTCCCTGGGCTGAGCCAGGCTCCTTCGCCTCTGTCCCTCCCTGGGCTGAGCCAGGCTCCTTCTCCTCTGTCCCTCTCTGGGCTGAGCCAGGCTCCTCCTCTGCCGCCCCGGGGGAGGGCTAACCTGTGCTCTTCCTCTCGTCGCGCTTCATGCCCTTGAGCCTCCGGAGCATGCCGCGCAGGTCGGTCACGCCGTGCTGGAAGGCGATGCGCTCGTACTCGGAGGGGGGTGCCTGGCGCAGGATCTCCCACACGTCCTCCTCGGCTGGCGCCTCCAGCTTTGGGTCCCTGTGTCCCGCAGGCCGTGCTGAGAGGTCGGGGCATCCCCTGTCGCCTGGGGGGTGGGGCTTCTGGGGACCCAGGACCTAGGAGCCTGGCTGCGCCTGCCCTCTGCCCCTTCCCTTCTGGGGGGTCCGGGCAGAGTCTGGGGGCCCGTGGGGCTTGGGAGCTGAGGCTGGGAGGGGACCTGAGCTGCGGGCTTTGTGGGTACTCACCGCGGGGTCCGGAAACTGCTGCTCCAGGTGGGGCGGAAAGGGCAGGGACACATTAGAGGTCTGGGCACCTCCCCACCAAGACCCGGGCCTTGACCTCCTCCCACACTCGCACCCCAACATTTATGGGGTACCAATGATGCGCTGGAGGGACCGGGCAGGACCTCCAGTGTGTGGTGCCTTTCCTCATTACCCCTAAGGTCCCATAGACACCTGGGTGGCATCGGTGGCATCAGGAGCAACCCGAGGCTCAGACTCACCCCAGGCAGTGGGGAGCCTCACCCCGGTCTGCGTCTCTCACCAAACCCTGGCAGAGACCGTGTGGATCCCCAAAGGGTCAGTTCCACACCCACCAGCACCCTGCTGCCCCACAGCACCCAGACCCTGTTCCTTACTCTCTGGACCGCAGAGACACCAGCCACAATGGAGGAGCCAGAAGAGAGGGAGGGAGAGGACCGAGAGAGAGAGCACAGGTTAGTAGGGCCAGGCTGAGGGACAATTCCTGCCTCCTCAGGGACCCTCTCTCAGCCTATCTGGGTCCTGAGAGTCTACTACAGTACACTGAAGGACACTGAGGATGGCTGTTCACACATCTGCACWGACTTTTAACTCTTTCCTATGCAGGAACCACTCCTCTGGATAGACATGGAAACCAGCTCAGAGAGGCGCAGTGAGTTTCTCAGGGCCACACAGCTAGAAAACCACAGGGCTGGGATTTGAAACTGGGCCTCAATATCTGCACCAGTGATGACTCCCTGGGCCTCACCTCTTCTTCAGCAGGGAGCTGAAGTCCAGAGTCCCAGTGTCCTCGTGGCTGTCACTATGGAGAGAGATGCCTATGAGGATTCAGTGGAGGGGACTGGAGGCAGCTGGGTCTAGTGTGTGGGAGGAAGCAAGGCTAGCCAGATGGGGCTCCCTGCCCATCCCAGGCCCCCAGGGGCTGTGTACAGGGCAGGTGGGGCTGGGGAGGGGGTACCTGGTTCGCCGACCTCCTCCGGCCAGGCTCCTGTGGGGATCAGAGGGTATCCTCACCTGCCAGGGCAGCTCACCAGCCCCCACCTCCCTGCACTGTGTCCCCTCCCCCACCTCACCCCCAACCCTGACTCCACGGGCCTCAGCCTCCATCACTGGCCTCCCCAGGCTCTTAGGAGAGACGGCCACTCACGTGCGGCGGAAAGCCGATCGCAGGTCCAAGTCTCCGGGGCCAATGGCCTCTGGGACCACAAAGGAGACAGGAGAGGGAGCTTCAGGGGGCGACGCTGGAGAAGCCCTTCCCTGGGGTCTCTGAGTAGCCACAGATCTGCCCATCCCGGTCCCCCTGAGGGTGGGCATCTGTCCCAGGACCCCACTTTCTCCGCCTTCCACAGGTCAAGTTACCAGGGAGTGGGACTTTTATGGTCCCCGACCCTGTAAGGGGCAGCCTCACTGACCTCACCTCAGTCTGTCCTTCGCCTCCCCCACAACACTCGACGGCTCTGTGCCAAGAGCCAGGGCCACCAAGAGGACTAAAGCAGAGTCCACCCCAGCTGACTTCTGGACTCTGTCCCAAGCCCACCCCCGAAGCTCTGTGGAGGTCCCCCACACCGTGAGCCAGCCGCCCCGGGAAGGGTCAGCACTGGGGGTGCGGTCAGCACTGGTGTCTGGCCAAGGCCAGGTACCCTCCTTAGAGTTGGGAAACAGGGGCAGATATGGGAGGCCAGGGCCCACGGGGACTAGGAGCCCAGGACAGACACCAGGCCCCTCACCATGGACGGTGAGGTTGAAGTTGCAGCTGTCAAATTTGTCCTTGGTGGACACCTCGCAGCGGTAGCCACCAGCAGAGCTGGCCTGGGCATCGGTGATGTGCAACTCAAACAGGTAGACCTGTGGGGTAGGTGACTCAGGAGACTGGGGCCAGGAGATAGTGTCCTTCACCCTAAGGCAGACTGGGCATGGCAATGCCTCCCAGCCTTCTCACGCCCCCAGGGTCAGCTAACTCTTGTGGAGCTTTGTGTAAACTAGAAAAAGGCTCCACCTCTCAAGACCGTGAGGCRGCTACAAGGCCAGAGGTAGCCACTTAATATAAGGCCATTTGGGGCAGTGCCCAGCTGGACATGTTGGCCCTGCCCTGCTAGAGTCTTCCTTGTCAGTGGTGGACTGTGCAAGACGGAAAGAAGCAGAGGCAAGGAGTCAAAGCACAGGGAGCTTAAGGTTCTAGGCCTGTGGGTGACCTTGGAGAAATGACTTTGCCTCTCCAGCCTTGGTTTCTTTGACTAATGAGGAATGATTCTGGCCAATCCCTTGAGCTCTGATACCCATCCACCCAAGGACTGGACCAGCTCCCAAGCTGGTATCCCCAGGGTTCCCGGGATTCCCCAGCCTTCCTGAGTTCCCAGGGGTCCCCTAAGTCCCCACCACCCTCTCTCAACCTCGCCATGCTCCCTGTGTGCCCTGGTCCCTGACCCCTGCACCTCCCAGTCTCATACTGTCCCCTGTACCCCTTGTGCCTCCCGGGGGCTCTCCAGGTCCCCTGCCCAGTGTCCCCGGCGCCGTCCCCGAGCCTCCCGCAGGCTCGGCTCCCACCTTGCTGGCCCGGTCGTAGCTGTCATGCAGCTGCAGGTGCTGGCCCACCTTGCTGCTCAGGTCCACCCACTTGCCCTTGAACCACTTGACGGTGGGTGGCTTCAGGAGGCTGGCCCCGGCCACTCGAGCTGAGAAGGTGATGCTGCCCCCTGCCAGAGAGGGTGAGGCGCTGGGCTTGGGGTGCCCTGCTGCCTCCCTCCCACACCAGCCCTGGGCAGAGGCGCCCACACTCACCCACCGTCACCTCGCCATCCTGCGGCCGCATCACGAAGAGACCAATGGGATCATCAGGGCCCCCAGGGCCCCCAGGGGCAGGGCCATGGGGGGCTGCTGAGCTTGACCCTGTGAGCAGAGGCCTTTGAGACTTGCCCTGGGACACCCCTTCCCGCTGGCCCTGTCCATCCCTGTCCAACCCCTGTCACCTTCGGGACTCGGGGCGCTTCCTTCCGGCTCAGTAGCCAGGGCTTCTCCCGGGGCTGCTGGGGCCTCCGCAGGGGCCTGGGCAGGGGCTGGTTGGGGCTCGGCCTTCTCTGGAGGGGGCAGGGTGGGGTCAAGGCCTGGTTTCTAATCAGGGAGCCCCCATGTCTCCTGGCATCAGCCCCATGAGCCCCCAGTCTGCGAAGCTTCTCACTTGGATGATAGTGTCCAGATCCCTCTGGGCCACGTCCTCCTGTCCCCTGGGCCTCTCCCAGAGGTGGCACAGCCTGGCCCCGGGAGCCAGCCTGCATCTTGCCTTTCATTCACCCTCAGACTGAGCTCCCAGCATGGCCCTCAGGTCCACCCTGCTCTCCTCCCCCAGCCTGGGCTGGGCTCCGCGGGTGCCCACCTCCAGGGCTTCCCTGCCAAGTGGCCATCTGTGTGTGGGCCCCGGCCAGGCGGCTCCACAGAGGGCAGGCTGGGCCTCCTTCCCACCTCGGCAATGGCAGGAAGGGACCCGGGAGGCACTGGGGTGTGGAGAGGGGAGCGGGCAGCCAAGGCCAAGAGCAGGGCAGCTCCGGTGCCCCCAGGGTGGCCCACCAAGCTCCTACCTGCTTCTATGACCTTGAGGTCAAACTTGACTTTGGAGGAGCCTGCAATGACGGCGTAGCAGCCCTGGTCAGCAGGGCCCACGTCCTGCACGGTCAGCGTGTGCCGCCTGCCCTCGGCCACCAGGCAGTACTTGTCACTGGCGGCGATGTCGCTGCCCACTCGCTGCCAGCGCACCTTCACTCCTGCACGCTCTGTCTCCGCCTCAAACACCGCAGGGCTGCCSGCGGCCACTTCCGTTGACCGCGGCTTCTTGCTGAAGGCAGAGGCTGAAAGGCCAGTCGGAGGCTACAGGGGTGCCTGGCTCACTGTGCACCCTGCAGCTGCTATCCCTAAACCCTGYGACACGGACTTTCCATGGACCTCCTCATTTAACATGAGTTGGGTGCGGTCACGTTCATTTCTCAGACGAGGACACTGAGGCGCAGAGAAGTCAGGATCACACAGCCAACAGGAGAAGAGACAGGGCTGTGGTCCTAACTGCCACACAAGACTGTCCCTGGATCTCCCACCCTACTTGCCTGGGGACACCAATAGTGAACCCAGCCCCCACCAACAGGGGCCCTTGGCAGGGGGCCAGTACTCTGTCTACTTGGAATGTGGCTAAATTTGTCCTTCAAGGGCCTGAGGCTGAGAATCAGCAACTGAGATAAAGCTGGCCTGGGAGGGGGCAGGGGTTGGGGGCCTGGATCCCTGCCCTGGACAACCTTAGCAAGGACAYAGCCCTGGTCCAGGACCATGGGCTGTGATTTTTCTCTGCCCTTGTCCTGGACTTGGGGCCTCTTGACTGTTTTCTCCCAGAGAAGAGGGGTTGCATCAGACCCAGCGGGGAGGTCACACCTGGTGTGAGCACTCCAGGGGCGCAGGCTCACAGAGCACATAATGTCACAGCGCTAAGGAACCAGCCCAATCCCTCTCTGCATCTATGGAGAAATCAAGACCCTGAGAGGGTAGGCAGGGTCCCACAGCAGGCAGGCCTGCAGCGGGGCTGGCTCAAGTCTTGTTTAAATTGGGCTCCTGTTGGCAGAGACCCTAACTGCAAAGTGGGGGATGAAGACAGAGAGGGACCCCCTAGGGCTCTGAGAATGGAGTGATGGCCCTGGGCACTTCCTGCCTAGGCCCTCTCCCATCTTGGAGAAGCTGGGTTAATCCTCAGTCTCATTCGAGGCTTGGAAAGAGAAACAGAAAAACAGACTGAAGAGGACTGTCCCCTTCCAACCTGGGATCACTGACCCCCCCTCAAAAACTATCCCCACCCCTGCTCTCCACCTGGACAGACCCCCTGCCCCCACATCCAGCCCCAACCCCCTGCCGGGGACTACCTGGCTTCTTCCCTGGTTCAGGCATCTCGAGAGAGGTCACACCGCACCAAGCAGCACAGGCCACCTAAGGAGGGACTGAGCGGGGTCCTGTCCTTTCTGCTATATATGGGGACCTCCCCCCTCCCCAGCTCTGCTTATCTGCCTCCTGCCCAGCCACCTGCTAAATATAGACAAATTCCAGGGAGCTGAGGTCCCTCTAGGGAGAAGGTAAGGCCATGTCTTCCCTGGTTGGCTTCTGTCCCTCCCCCCACCCCCAGTGCAATATGATGGCTTCTGCCTCTTCAACCCTGGGTGAACCTCAGGGGTACCCCAATCCCTGTCTGCATGTCCATCTGACCGCAGACTCTGCAGTGGGCATGTGCGGGGCCTGTAACCCCAGGCTAATGGATCCATGGCACCCTTGCGGTCCATGGTGGTGGCCACAGGCCCTGGGCTGCCCTGAGACTTGGCAGCTATGAATTCTACAGCACCGGGGTTCTCTCATCTGTAATGTGGGGCTGGGAAGAGCAGCACAGGACTGTTACCACGTGAGCCAGGTTTACATATGAAAACGCTAAGCGCTGCCTGGCATGTGGAACACGCTGAGCCGATATTTGCTCTTAGGATTTGGCCCACATTATCACAGCTCATGAGGCACAGAGCTGGTCTCATGCTGTGGATCTTGGATGGACTTAGTCCAAGGTCAGGTTGGAAGGAGGGAATACGGGGGTGGTGGGGTGGTGGCTGGTGTCACTTAAAGGGAAGGGCTGGGGGAGCCTGCAGGTAAGGGTGTGCGGGTAAATCTCTAAATACACCCTAAAGTAGAAGACAGAATGAAGTCAGCTCTTGCTCACATCACCAAGATTAACCAACGATTAATGCCAGAATGTTCTGAATCCCCTCCTCCCACCCTCCGTTGTTTCTCTGTGACCTCTTGCCCACTGGGACTGGACCCCTTTTCCGTCACATCAGGGCCACGGATTGCCTCAGAAAGAAGCAAATTATCTGGGACCCCCCCCTAAACAAAACCCAATATCAGGAAAGATCATTCATCTCCCACCATCAGAAAAGGAATTCCATACACAAGCATTTTCCAAATGATAAAAACTTGCCATTTCTTTATATATCAAAATCCATTATTTTCTTCCATTTTTTAACCATATCACCTGCTTCTGAGCCTTTTTTTAAAAATATCTATTTATTTTTTCTTAGTTCTCGGCAGACACAACATCTTCGTTTGTATGTGGTRCTGAGGATCGAACCCGGGCTGCACGCATGCCAGGCGAGCGCGCTACCGCTTGAGCCACATCCCCAGCCCTTCTGAGCCTTTTTTAAAAGAGGACACTGAACACCATTTTTGCCATGCTGGAGATGAACCCAGGGCCTCACTCATGCTAGGTAAGTGCCCTGCCACTGAGTCACACCCCAGCCCCCACCTTCTCTGGGGGGCTCTGCAGTCAGGCTGGGAGCACCATGTCTGGGCTGTGATGAGCCTGCAGCCCTCCAGGTCTTTCTCCCTAAGCTAATGCTTAATGCTAAGGGTCCTAGGACCTGGGTTTTCTGAGGTGTGCAGACAGCTTCCGGAAGTTTCTTCATTCCCAGGCTGTCTGCTGCCACTACCCGCTATTTGCTAAAGCAGGATTCTTCCAGGCTCCTTGCTGACTGTGTCTGTTGCGCCTTGCTGTGTGGCGGGAGTCCCCGAGCCAAGTGTTCAGGATAAAGGGCTGCAGGAGGGGGACTTGAATCACCGGCCCAAGGTCTTGCAGGGCTGGAATCTTGTGAGAAGGGGTCTTAGCCTCTGCTCCTGCTCAGTGAAGACATCTATTTCCAGATAAGTAAAGCTTCCTAGCTTACGGTGGGGCAGACCTGGAGTGGATCCAGCCTGGCCACAAGCCAGCTGAGAACTTGGACCAATTATTCCACCTCTGAGAGCCTCGGTGTCCCATTCTATAGAATGCGAGGACACCAGAGTCCTCATCTCAGTACTGCATGACCAGAAAATCCAGTGTTGTTAACAAGGTCATCCTTCTCATCGACATCATTTGCACCATATTTAACTCAGAAGATGGTGAATTGAAGCCTCATCCAGGCTTCAAACACCCTCTCGGGTGCAGAAGGCCTTTTACTTTGGTGAACTCTGCTAATAACAATGAAGGTCTTGTTCCAGGCTCAGGCAGTGTGTGTCATTTGTCTGTGTGTCATTTGTCTCTGCGTGCCCAGGGTCCAGCACTGGGTAGACACCCAATGGCTAAATGAGGGAACCAGCCATGTCCCTGCCCAAGGGGGAGGGGACAGACCAGGGGCACATTCTGAAAGAGACTCTGTCGCTGCAAGCTTGGTGTCTAACAAGACTTTACTTCCTTCCTAAAGGGTGAGGGCGGTGGGAGAAGGTGATGCTTAGAAAGGAGCATCCATCTACAGAAGTGACAAGAGACAGCCCCAAGGAAGCGCCCTGGCCACTGAGCGAGGCCGACGCCCGGCGGCCTGCGGGCACCTCGGGGCTGGGGTCCCCTGGGGCAAGCGGGGCTGGAGGGGAGGCGAGGGAGGGTGGCCGCCAGTCCTGCCCTGGCCCCGGGCGTCCTCCCTGTGTCCGGGCCGGCGGGGGGTTAATGCTGTGGCCCGCGGGAGGCCTGGGGGCCCTGCGGGCTCAGTGCGGCGGGTGGCGGCGCTCGGCCAGGCCGCCGCGGCCCAGCACCTCGCCGCTGAACTGGTAGGTGAGCTTCTTCTTGACCTTCTTCACCTCGCCCGTCTTGCCGTAGTTGCGCAGCGCGCGCGCCATCTTCTGGTAGGTCATCTTCTTGCGGTTGCCCTTCTGGATGCCCCAGCGGTGCGCCAGCGCCTCCTTGTGCTTGGACGAGAACTGGAAGGTGCCCTTGTCCTTGTCCACCCACCAGATGCTGTCCTTCATGTCCCCGCTGCGAAGCAGATCGAGCAGGAACTGGTACAGGCGGATCTTCTTCTTGCTGCCTGCGGGAGAGGGGCGCGTGGGGTGGAGGCCACAGGGACCCCTTTGGGACCGTCCACCCCACGGGACCGTGTGGCGGGATGGTTCACCGGGGAAGAGCTCCCCCAGCTGCCGGGCGCACACTGGCACACACACGCACCATGCACACACGCTCATGCACGTACACAGCACACTTTGCGGAGAGCCCTGTTACGCTCATAACACGTGCTCACAGAGCCCAGGTAGAGATGCTCAGAGACCCTGCAGAACGATCACACACACAGACTCCAGCCTGATTGCTGGGTTGATCGGCCTGGGCTGGGGTGTAGAGGGGGCAGGGGACAGAGGGCTGGGCCCAGCTGGGCCAGGGCCTGGGGCTGGGCCTTACCTGTTTCCCCGTGCAGAAGGCCAGGCCCGGGCTCCAGGCCATCCGCCTCCCCATCAGAAACCTCCAGTGGAGGGCTCTGCCGCTCGCCCTCCTCCTCATCTGAGCTGGGCTGATGTGGGGACAGGGATGGGTATGGGAGGCACATCCGGGGCAGGTAGGGGACCTGGAAAGGTGGGGGAAGGAGTTGAGGTCAGGAAGGGACAGCTCAGGGCTCAGTAAGAGGAGAGGGAGTGCTGGGAAGCAGGTGGCCACAGGGGCAGGAAGATTAGGAAGAAGGCTGAGAAATTGGAGGCCAGTGGAGGCCACAACCACACAGGGCACAGGGCACAGTGACCAGGGGTTGCTGACATCCAACCCACTGCCCTTCCCACCTGGGCCCCCTGGTTCAGGGCAGGTCCCTGGGGAAAGGGCACCTTATTCTCATACACCCAAAGGTGCTGTCTGGCATGACAGTGGCCTTGGGAGAGAAGGGGGATGCGGAGGGGGTTGATCTGGAGCAAATGGGGTTTGATGAGTGAGTGACGAGGGAGGGAAGGGGTGGCGGAGGTCACTAGGGTTACAGCCCCTGGGACAGAGAGGGTTTGGTAAGGGGGTCAGTGGGTGTGGAAGGGCCCTGTAGAGGTTCATGACTTGGATATCCGAGGGGCCCATAAATGAGGCCTTGCAGTCTGTGAGGGTCCCCAAGACACAGGACCATGCATGGGGTGCAGAGCCAAAGATGGGGAGTTCTGGGATCATCTGGGGTCGGTCCATCCCCAGCGAGAGGAGATAAGGGGTGCAGGCCACGAGGTCAGTCGGGGGGTCAGTGGCAGCCGTTGGGGCTCCGGCCGCCGTTGGCGCAGTGGGGCAGGAAGCCACGTTGAGTAAGAGCCTGTGTCAGCTTCCTGTGAAGCTCCCGGGCCTCACCACAGGCCTGGCGTGGTCCTGAGGACAGAGGACAGCCAGCAGCACGCACCTGGTGGCCGAGGCTGGTGTGGGCCGGCGCCATGGGGGTGTCGAGGACATGCATCTGCTCCAGCTCCATGTGGCGGTAGAGCTGCTGCAGCTGCGGGGGCTGCACGCTCTGCAGCTCCGTGAAGTGGTTCTCGGGGAAGCTCTCGAACTCGCTGTGCACGTGGTGAGGGTGGAAGTCCCAGTAGTGGTCTGTGGGGGGACAGGCCATCAGTGAGCCCCGGCGGGCAGGGCGGGGAAGTGCCAGCAACAGAAACAGCCATGCCGGGCCGCAGGGGGCTCGCTCCGCATCCAGACTGCAGGGCTCCCCCCACTGATGCTCCTGTCTCCTACTCCTGCTTTATAGGGAGGACCCTGAGGCTCGGAGGCTACGAGACACGCTCAAGGTCAAGGGCAGCATCCATGGCAGAGCCAGAACCCAGGCCTGAAGCAAAGCCCTTGTGCTCAGCACCCACTTTCTCCTGCCTCCTGTCCAGTCACAGGGATGCAGGCTTCTGGTCCCCAAGTCTGAGTCCTGACTCTGCCACTGACTTGCAGTGAGACTTCAGGCACAGCCTGGGCCCCTCTGGCCGTAAATGAGGGTCATTGTTCTGGGGAGGGTTCAAAGGAGAACTCATCTGTAAAACTTCCTAGCCTCTGGCCTCTGATTCCCTTCCCCCACCTCAGACCTCCCCGTTCCTGAGGTCCCTGGCTTCCCTAGTCACACACAGGACCTTGTCACATGGCCAAGGTGTGACGGCCAAGTCACAGGGCTGACCTTCCTCACACCTCCAGAGCTCGCCAGACCCGCGGTGCTGCTCCTCCAAGCCCTGGCCTGAGTACTGTTCCAGGGAGGGGGCAGCGCCGCAGGATCCCTGGGAAGCCCCGGTGGCTGGCTGGAGTCTGGGGAACAGCCACACACCCCCGCAGCCTGTCTCGGGGCCAGGGCAGATCTTCAACATGGTTTCTCTGGGCACCTTTTCCAGGAACAAAAACTGCCCACGTCTGAGGGACTTCCTGAGCAGCGTCTGGGTCCGAAAGAAAGTGGGGTGTAGAGATGAGATGGATTTGTTCATGGGCACAAAGAAGGAGTGTATGAGAAGCCAGTCTGGGCAGTGTCTTTGGGACGTCCACTAACAGCCGTGTGTGTGAGGCTCATGAACATGCAGTTGTACACACATGTCTGTCATCTGCCTGCATTCCTCTCCCTCTTCCTCTTTCACAAGAACTCATACACTCGAATCCCTAAGAAATGAGGAGGCTGAGGCAGGAGGATTGTACATACTAGGCCAGCCTCCAAAATTTAGGGAAACCCTGTCTCAAAAAATAAAAAGGGCTGGGGGTATAACTTAGTGGATTCAATCCCAGATCTCTAGTATTAAAAAAAAGAAAAAAGAGGGGCTGGGGATGTGGCTCAAGCGGTAGCGCGCTCGCCTGGCATGCGTGCGTCCCGGGTTCGATCCTCAGCACCACATACCAACAAAGATGTTGTGTCCGCCCAGAACTAAAAAATAAATAATAAAAATTCTCTCTCTCTCTCTCTCTAAAAAAAAAAAAAAAATCTTAAAAAAAAAAAGAAAAAAGAAAGAAAGGAAGGAAGGAGAAAAAAATGAATTTTTTTTTTTTTAGCTCTTGATCAAATATCTGAGGACTTGCTTTCTAATCCTGCTAAGTGGTGGCTTTGCTGTGTGACCTCGGACAAGATCTTTCTCCCCCTGAGCCTGATACCCCATTTGGAAAGTCAGAGATGCAAGTGGATAGTCACCAAGGTTCTGTGCATGTGTGAAGTTGTGCGAGCCCACAACCCAGACAGCCCAGCCCTGCCTCTAGGAGACTGGAAAAGAGAAAGCCCACGATTTCAGGCAGAGCTGGTTCAAATCCTCACCGTGCCTGCGGCTAATGCCTACAAATTGCCCAGAAGAGAACCAGGTGCAACATAAGACTCACTCGGCATGAACCACTATCAGCATCATTGTATTAATATTTTATTCTAAAGAGCCGGCGTTAGAACCAGGTGTGTGGGGCCCCTCTGTAGTGCCAGCATTTGGGAGGCAGGGGAGGGAAGGTCACTTGAAGCCAGGTGTTAAGATCAGCCTGGGTAACACAGGGAGACTCCCAGACACGCCCCCCCCCCAAAAAAAAAAGCTTGCATTATCTCTTGAACATGCAGTACTAGGGACTGGGGACCAAACCTAGGGATGCTCCACAAGTGAGCAATCCAGCCCCTCTTATTTTTTGAGCCAGAGTCTCACTAAATTGCTAAGGCTGGCCTAGAACTTGTGATCCCCCTGCCTCAGTAGTGGGGTGACAGGTATGTACCACCACACCTGGTTTCTTTTTTGGGGGGGTGGGGGTGGGTATTTGTTTGTTTGTTTGGTGCTGTGGATTGAACCCAAGTGCACTTTACCACTGAGCTTTACTCCCCAGCCCTTATTATTTTTTATTTTCAGACAGGATCTCACTGAATTGCTTAGGACCTCATTCAGTTGTTGAATGTGGCCTCAAACTGGCCATCCTCCTGTCTCAGCCTCCCGAGTTGCTAGGATGACAGGTATGCACCATGCTCAACTCAGTAGCCACTTTATTTTGTTTATTTATTTATTAATTTTAGTACCAGGGATTGAACCCAAGGGCACTTAACCACAGAGCCACAATCCCCTTTTTATTTTTACTTTTTTATTTTGAGACAGGGTCTCACTAAGTTGCTTAGGGCCTTTCCAAGTTTCTGGGACTGGCTTTAAACTTGTGATCCTCCTGAGCTGCTGGGATTACAGGCGTGTGCCAACGTGCCCAGCATCTGACTGCTTTTATCCATCTGTCCACCATTACCCCACTCATCATCCTCCATCCATGGTCTATCCATCCATCACTCACCATCTGTCCGTCCATCCATCATCAAACCACCATCCATCCATCCATCATCTACCCATCAATCATCCATCATTACCCAGACAGCCAGAAATAACTCTCTCGCCTTGATCACTCATTTCCTCCCTTTAAACTAGCTCTCAACCTGGGGCCAAAGTCCTGCCCATACCTTCCAATTCTTACTCATTTGTCACCAGGACAAAAATAGAGTGAGATTCAAAACAACTCCACACAGAAATTCAGCCTTAAGAGTCATTCAGTTGACCTTATCTCCCCAGAACAGAAAGCTCAGCCTCAAACCCAGGGCTCTACCCAGGAGAACAGAAGTACAACCAAAACTGAGGAGAAAGAGGAGGAATCAAGAGAGGAGGAGACAAGGAAAATACCCTTCGCAGGAAACCACAGACCGTTGGACAGAGGTGGCCGGAGCCCAGCCTTCCCTGGAGATTGTTCAGATGTGGAAACTGAGGCCCAGAGAACTGCCGGTCTCAGAGCACTCGCTATTCTCTACCTTGTATCCTAATTATGAGAGTTTTAATTATTTCCCCTCTTATAACACTGAACCCAGTAGGACCTGTGTCCTTCAGCATCCAGCAACGCGCCTGGCATGTAAAATAGAATATTTATTAGAGAGCTCAGTGCAAGATGGATGGAAGGTTTGGTAGGTGGAGGGAAGGACAGCTGGAAGGAGGGATGAGTGGATGGTTAGATGAGTGTGTGAACAAATTGGTGAATCATAGATGGTTTGTGGTATGAAGTAGGCAGACATCTGGGTGGATGGGTAGATGGATGGTTGGATGAGTGGATGGATGGATGGATGGGTGGATAGATGGATGGATGGGTAGATGGATGGATGGATGGGTGGATGGATGGGTGGATGGATGGGTAGGTGGATGGGTTGATGGGTGGATAAATGGATGGATAGATGGGTGGATGGATGGATGGGTGGATGGGTGGATGGATGAAAGGGTGGGTGGGTAGATGGATGGATGGATGAATTTATGGGTGGATGGAGAGAAAAAGCCATACTTTGGAACTCTTTCCTTCACCAGTCCCATCGCAAGCAGCAAAATCAGTCACATCCATTAGGATGACTACTACGAAAACCAAACCAACAGAAAATGACACGTGTTGGTGAAGATGTGAAAAAAATTAGAATCTTTGCACACCAATGGTAGGAATGTAAACACAGTGCAGCCCCTGTGGGAATGAGTATGGGAGTTCCTTTAAAAAATGAAAAATAAATCTACCATATAACCCAGCAATTCCATTTCTAGTATAGATCCCGAAGAATTTAAGTCAGAGTCTTGAAGAGATATCCGTACACCCAGGTTCACAGGGTGCTGCATTTTTCACAGCAGCCCATAGTCGGAACCAACCCAAGTCTCGGAGGACAGATGAATGAAGAAGCGAAGGTGGTGTGTGCATCCAGTTGAACGGTAGTCAAGCTTTAGTGGGGAGGGTTCCAACAGGTGGAGCCACATGCATGGACCTCGAGGACACCGTGCCAAGGGAAATGAGCCAGGCACGAAGGGGCAAAATGTTGTATGATTCCAGGTATGAGACACCTGGAGCAGTCAGGTTCACAGAGGCTGGTGGGTGGCTAGAGGATTGCAGTTTTGCAAGATGAAAAGAATTGTGGAGACGGATGGTGGTGATGGTTACATGGCAGTGTAACTGTATTTTTTTTATACCCCCCAGCTGCATGCTTAAAAATAGTCAAGATGGCCACGCCTGGTGGCGCAACTGCCTGTAAGCCCAGCTATTTGGAAGGCCAAGAGAGGAGAACGCAAGCTCGAGGCCAGCCTCAGCAATGTAGCAAGACCCTGTCTCAAAAATAACAAAGGCCAGGGATGTAGGCTCAGTTGTAGAGCACTCCTGGGTTCAGTCTCCAGTACTGAGGTTAAAAAAAGTTAAGATGGTCGATTTTATGGGTTTTTTTAAATTTTTATTTTTTTAGTTTTAGGTGGACACAATACCTTTATTTTATTTATTTTTATATGGTGCAGAGGATTGAACCCAGGGCCTCACACACGCCAGGCAAGCGCTCTACCACTGAGCCACAAGCCCAGCCCCAGACAGGCTTTTTAAGAAGGTGACTTGTAGAACAACTAGGCACTGGAAGATGATACTAAAAACTTCCAGAGAGACACAACAAACAGAGAAAAATAAGCAAATGTAAACAAAAAATCAGGTGACTTTCGGAAAAGGGAATGTGGAAGGGCCTTTGACTTCACAAGGAGAGCTCTAGTAACCAGAAGATGCAGAGAAATGTTTTCAAATTCCTAAGGAAAAAATGATTCTCAACCTGGAGTCCTAACATGGCTAAACTATTGTTAAAGTGATAACAGAATAGCTGGAAGGCACGAGGAGGTAAAACACAACACAACCCAGCAAAACAATGATAATAAAACCTGGGCATGGTAGCACATGCCTGTAATCCCAGCAACTCAGGAGGCTGAGATGGGAGGATGGCAAGTTTGAGGCTAGTTTCAACAACTTACTGAGGCCCTAAGCAATTTAGTGAGATACTGTCTGAAAATAAAAAATAATAAGGGCTGAGGATAAAACTCTGTGGTAAAGTACCCCTGGATTCGATCCTCAGTACCAAAAGAAAAACAAACAAACAAACAAACCTTGCCTGCCACACGCCCTTCCCTTGGAGACTATAATGGTAAGGTAACAACTCCTTAGAGAAATTCAGTATTTGCCAGGCCTGTTCTGGTTATTTTACATGTATTATTTCACTCGATCCTGACAACAATTTGGTGAAGTGGGTGTTATTATGAAGTTAAGGCACAGAGAGGTTGACCATCTTGCCCATGGTCACTCCAGATAGCAATGGAGAGTGGGGGATGAATCCCTGTGTCTGGTTCCAGAATCAGGGCTTTTCTGTCCTGTGACACTGCCCCTAGGACACACAGGTAATGAGAGGCAAGCTGAGAGTAATATCCCTTGGTCATAATGGTGGAAATTTCAAATACCAATTTAACAAGAGTCACCAGGAAACTGCCCTGGGAAGGTGCACAGGTGTCCGTGGGTGTGGCATGGCCGGCTAGAGTCAGGGTCTCCTTTCTCCTAGTGAGTGACTAGATGACCTCCCGACTGACAGACCACGCAGATCCCTCTCTGCCTAGCCTCCAGAAGGTCCTCGGCCAGGGTTGGTGGATGAATAATGTTCTAAGGCTCTATTTCACATCCTCACTGGCCCAGACAGACAGTGCTGCCACAGAAATCCTTCTTTCTGTTAGTAAAACAGCGGACACAAGGTCTATGTCACAGAGGAATATCCGCAACAGGCTTCAGTAAAAAATAGCAAATTGCAGAACAGCATGATACAGTAATTTCATTTTTTGAAGAATTTTTTGTAGGGCTGGGGCTGTAGCTCAGTGGCAGAGCGCTTGCCTCACATGCATGAGGCACTGGGTTCGATCCTCAGCACCACATAGAAATAAACAAATACAATAAAGGCATGCTGTCCATCTACAACTACAAAAAGTATCAAACCCAGTGCCTCACAAGTGCTAGGCCAGTGCTCTGCCACTGAGCTATAGCCCCAGCCCCAGTAATTCCATTTTGAATGAATAGAATCTACATGTATATAGGTATATATTTATAAATATGCAGGGCTATAGACATAGAATAAAAGTCTGCAATGATGTCTAAGGTACCTTTAGTGGGAGGGAGATAGAAAAGAGGGAAATGAGCCAGGTGTGGTGGTGCACGCCTGTAATCCCAGCAGCTTGGGAGGCTGAGGCAGGAGGATTGCAAGTTCAAAGCCAGCCTCAGCAACAGTGAAGTGCTAAGCAACTCATTAACACCCTGTCTCTAATAAAATACAAAATAGGGCTGGGGATGTGGCTCAGTGGTCGAGTGCCCCTGAGTTCAATCCCTGGTACCCATCCCCCAACAAAAAAAGAGGGAAATGTTTCTCCTGGGTTGCTGGAGTAGTTCGTAAGTCTTAGCAATGAGTATTTTGTAATAATTAAACTTTAAAGATTTAAGATGTATTTAAATATGAACACACACACACATTTTAGATTATGTGATTTTCCTGCTCAAAGCTCTCCAAAAGCTGGGCACAGTGGCACATGCCTATAAAATCCCAGCAATTTGGGAGGCCAAGGCAGGAGGATTGCCAGTTAGACCTTAAGCAACTTAGTGAGAACCTGTCCTGTCACAAAATTAAAAATAAAAAGCCTGGGGATGTGGCTCCATGGTGAAGCACTCCTGGATTAAATTCATAGTACCAACGAAACAAAACCTCTCCAAAACAGTGCTGATCTCTTGCCCAGTGTGCCTGGGGCTCTGGGCTCTATCCCCCACACAGCAAAACAAAGCAACAGAAAACCTACAAACAAAAAACTCTCCATAAAATAAAATCCACTCTCCCTCCATGTCCTGTAAGCCTCCTGTGACCCGTCCCTATGCATTTTATCTCCACCTTCTGGTTCTCAGCAGCCTCTGGGGCCTCTGTCAGGGTCTCCTTGTGCTCCCTTTGCCTGGACCCCTCCCCTCCCTACCTTCCTTCCCTCAAGATTTCAACTCAGTGACACCTACCCTGAGCTTCCCGGACCCTGCAGAGAAGGGTGTCCCCACACAAAAACCGCACTATGTCACTCTGGGTCTCATAGGACTTATCATTACGTGTGTGTGTGTGTGTGTGTGTGTGTGTGTGTGTGTGTTTGTGGATTTTCTCTCCCCTCCCTCCCGGAGAGCAGGGCTTGGCTGGTTCGCTCCTCGTGGACTCCCAGGTGCCTGCAATACTGTGCTCCCTGACACAGAGCAGAGGACCTTCAATGCTGAACTGATGCGGGAGGGGCACCGGTGCTGGGTTGGAAGGATGGATGCCTGGGTGGGTGGAGGGGTGGATGGGGGGGTGGAAGGGTGTGCTTCTCCACGCCCCCAGCTGCTCCCTCCCTCCTGCCTTGGGAATGCAGTAAAGCTAAGGAGGCCCCCCCAGTTCCCCGGGCCTTGTTCTCAGCACAGTACCTGGCCTTATAGACCATGTGCGTCACTTCGTTGAATCATCACAACACTGAAGTATCTTCAGGCTCTCAGTTTCTAGACCAGGAAAGGGGGGCTCAGGAAAGTTATGTTACTTGCCCCAAGCTACACAGCTGGTGAGGACATGGACCCAGGACTGACAGGGTTGGAGGGGGTGGGCAGGTCCGGAACACCTGAAGACTCTGGGGGCCCAAATTGGGGTGCTCAGGCATCCAACCAGGAGTCATTCCCCAGATCTAAGCACTTCCTCTGAAATTCTCACTCCGTGGGCCCAGCCCCAGGCCTAGTGGGTTTCTGATATGTGGGCCAAACCCTCATACTCCAGGAAGGAAATCTGAGGCCACACAAGACCCAAAGGAAGTACCCCAAACCCGGGAGTGGAAAGCCAGTTGGCCATGGGGAAAGCCAGCCTCGGCAGGAAGGAGGCCGCCCGCAGAGCCTGCAGGGCCGAGCCACCAGGGGGCGCCCTCCTCAAGTCCGACTGGTGATGGGTCGGTCCTGGAACCACCGGCGGAAGGGAGGGTGTGTGGAGCTGGGGTCCCTCACACCCATGGAAGGAGAAGCTGGGAATAGAGCTGGTGAGAGAGACACCCTCTCTACATGGTGTGAATTTTCTACCAAGAGGATGTGTTTCTAGTGTAATTACACATAAGCTTAAAAGCACAAAAGAGGTAGGAGGGCCCACTATGATCCCAGGCTGAGGCAATGCCACCACAAGTTCAAGGTCAGCCTGGGCGATTTAGCCAGACCCTGTGCCCAAATAAAACTTTTTAAAGGGTTGGGGATGCAGCTTAGTTTTAGAGCGTTGGCCTAGCATGAGCAAGGCCCGGGTTCCATCCCCAGCACCAAAAGAAACACAGCAACAAAACCAAAGATGGTATTTCCTGGGTTGGGGGCCTTTCTGGCCCTGGGGCTGAAAGTTGGTCTTGAGGGGACGCCACCCTACCCCGAGAGCTTGCAGATGGAGTCCTTTAATGGATGCCGGCTGTGAGTTCCAGGCACCCTGATGGGAAGGTTCTAAACAGACCTGCACACGGGCATCCCTGGGCACCGGGCTCCCAGCCTCCTCCGTGTCTCTGCCTCAAGGGGCCGCAGACACCCTGGAGAACCCCCACTGAGGATTCAGTCCCTTAACTGGGCCACCTGACCTTTGGTTCAGGGATGCCTGCATCAGTACACCAAGATTCCCTTTGGGTGACCTCCACAGTCCTCTGTCAGGTCCCAGGCACCTGGGGCCAATCTGCTCCAGGAAGGATGCTGGACCCTGGGGTAGACAGACAAAAGAACCTTCTGGCCCAGGTCTCTGCGGTAACCGGGACCCTCGGCCTCTGCTGAGCAAGGGGTCCTCAGCGCTTTCCCCTGATCCAGCAGTACTCAGCTGGTGGCGGTAAAGAGACTGACGAGGTTGTCATGATGGGCAGCGTACTGGCATGGAGCAGGGAGGGGTTGAGGATGCTGCTAAGCCTCTTTTGGTGCCTAGGACTGTCCCCAAACAGAACTGTGCCACCCAAAGTATCAGCAGAGAAGCTGCTAGACACACACAGCAGGGAGTAGGACTGTGGGTGGGGGCGAGTTTGAGGGAAAGACAGTGAAGAACTGAGGAAGGGGTTGGCGGGGGCGGCGAGTGTGCAGAGCGCTGGCCTTGGGAGCCCTGTGCAGGTCACTTTGGTCCCTAAGCCTCAGCGTCCTCGTGTTGAAGTCCACGGGTTGGCTGACATAAGTGTGCAAGAAGCTAACCTGGTCCTTGGCACAGGGAAGAGGCTCATCAATGAGAGGTGGGGGATGCAGGGATGAGYAGCTCACTTCGCCCCAGAGCTAAGTTGACCTTGGAATTCCAAGGAAGACCYGGAGCCATTTCTTCTTTTCGTCTCCCCCGCCCCCCAGGTGCTCAGGCGCCCACCCACGCCTGGAAGGGGCGGCAGGCCCTGAACTCACCGTTGTGGCTTTCTCCATCACTGGTGATATACGGGTAATATTCATGCGTCTGGCGTTGGTACAGGTCCGTGTCGTAGGGAACCAGGTCTTCTGACGGCTGCTGAGAGAGGAGGGTGTCAAGGCCTGGGCTGGTGGGGAGGCCCCAGCCAGGTTGGTGGCCCCCACAACAACACCTTCCCTCACCAAGGGACCCTGTTGACCCCGCAGCTCTCCCTCGGCTTGAAATCCACAAGGTCAGGGCCACAGGGAGGGGGCGGGGCCCCAGGAGAGCTAAAGGCCGTGATGGAGGCCCCAGAGGTCAGAGATCACAGGAGGACAGAGGAGAAGGAGCAGCCCCCCTGCCCCGCTTGGCTGGGCCCCACAACTCTTTTTGGTTTGGTTCTGAAATGCCCCCCACAGCCTCATGTAGGAGGCTTGGTCCCCAGGACAGCAGTGTTCAGAGGTGGGACTTGGGAAGTGCCTGGATCCTGAGAGCTGTGGCCTCAGGATTACTCCATTGATGGATTCATAGCTGATTGGACTTTGGGGATGGGATAGAAACTGTGGGAGGTGGGGCCTCGTGGAAGGGAGTGCGTCCTTGGGGGTGGGCCCTTGGGGAGTCTACCTTGTTCCCAGTCCCTTCCTCCAAGCTCTCTCTCTTCCCAGCTGCCCAGAGGTGAGTGGCTTTGCTCCACCACACCCTCCTCCCCATGATGCTCTGCTTCACCACAGGCCCAGAGCAACGGAGTTGGCCACCCCTAGACTGAAACCTCTGAAACCGTGAGCCAAAATAAATCTTTCTTCTTTTAAGCTGTTTTTCTTGGGTAYTTTGTCAKAGCAACGAAAAGCTAAGTCCCCTCACGCTCATACTCATGTTCACGCCTGTGTGGTCCAGATCATGGTCTCACGTGTTCACCTCTCACATCCACACAGATGCACCCATTCCCCCAAACGCACACACACTCCCTGTGACACCAGTACAGCCCCAATCCCACTTGTGGGCTCACTCTCACAGCTCATCCTCTCACTCTCTCAGCCACTGTACCCATCCATGCATGTAAAGGCTGACACCCTCGTCTTTGTTGTTGTTTGTTACTAAAGATTGAACCCAGGGGTGCTTAACCACTGAGCCACATCACCAGCCCTTTTTATTTTTCTATTTTGAGACAGGAGTCTGGCTAAGTTGCTGAGGCTGGCTTTGAACTTGACATCCTCCTGCCTCAGCCTCCCAAGCTGCTGGGATGACAGGCGCACGCCATCGTACTTGGCACCCACACACACCTTTACACCCAGTCACACACAACCCGTGCACCCTGGTACACTCACCCCTGTGGGCACGCGCAGAGTTGCATGAACTGACACATGCACACCACTGCATTCCAGCCACCAAGGTCACACCCACAACCCCCCCATTCCTCCAGCRTGCTCCACAGCACACTGGGGTCCTCCTCTCACAGCCTCCCTGCCCACCCCAACTCTCCCTCACAGCCTGTGTCCAGGTCCCAGACAGGCTCAGGCCCACCGCCATGACCATCCTACTAMTGGTTTGTACAGAAGCCATCCTGGCAGGCGGCCTTGGGGGCCAGGGGACAGAGGCCTGGATGCCCCCCTCCCCTCCCCTCACTGGATACTCCCTTCCCTCCTCCTTCCTTCACCTGCCTCCCCCTCCCCCCTCCTCCCAGTCCTCCTCCTCTTCCTCTCTCCCCCTCCCCACCCCCAGCTTACTGGCTCCCCAGAAGTCCTCTGCCTCTCCCCACCCCCACAGCCTGTGCCCAAGGGTTGCACAACAATTACCGTGACCCTTAGGGCTTGGCATGGGGGACCAGGGCTGTCTTGAGAACCCATTGTCCCCAGAGACACTCAGAGTGGCCCCTGGGGCTGAAGAGAGAGGCCGGGGTCTAAGGTGGAAACCCAGGATCTGTTCCCTACCCAGCTCTGTGGGGAGTTCAGGGTTGAGAGGTCAAAGGTCAGAGACAGGAGGGCCAAGCGCCTGGGCCTGGGGCTTTCTTGAGGCAGAATGGGCTCTTGCTGGGACACCCCCCTCCATCCTTCCCTGCCCCCAGCACCTGCTGAGTCCCAGGTTGGGGAAGGGGTTCCCTCGGGCMCTGTCTGCCTCAGGCCGAGAAAGGGGAGCCCAGTCCTGAGCCTGCCTCCCGGGTCCCAGGCAGCCAGCCCAGGATGCTGGCCGYGATGCCAGGCCAGGGTGCCTCCAGGGCTCCCAGCCGCAGCGGGAGGGGGAGGGGCGCTGCCGCTAGGCCGGGAAAGCTGAGTCAGGGGGCAAGCCCTGCCCTTCCCAGTCCCCCCACCCTGGGCCTCCCCATCAGACAGGAGACSGGAAAAGGGAGAAGGGTCCTCTCTGAGGGACCCTGACACCTGTCTTGGGCGGCAACTGTCACTGAGAGCAGGGAGCCTTGCAGACCCGCCCGCCCGCTGCCCTTCCCTCCCTGGGTCTCCTGGGACTCTGCGCCTCCACCCCCAGACCCGGTGCTCATCCTAATTCCAATCTGACGCTCATCCCAGTCCCACCCCAGACTCAATCTCAGTTGCCACCTGGTCCCAGCCCATCCCTGCCTCTTCCTAACTCCAGCGCAGGCTCCACCCGAGCTACAGTGTCACTGCTCAGCCCCCTCCTGCCCTGCCCAGCCCAGCCCCAAGCCCCTGGCCCAGTCCAGGCCCCCACCCCCATCTCTCAGGGACCTGTAGGCCCAGACCATCTGGTCAACAGATATGTCCTCTGTGCCAGGCCCAAGACGAGGCGTTGGGGACTCATTGGGGGCCCAGAGTTCCAGGATCCTGGGTCTCTTGAAGTCGGTGGGCCCCCGGCTGAGACCTCTGCCTGCTGCCTTCAGCAGGCAGCCGACCCCTTCCTGCCCGGGGGCTGGCCTCCCGCAGGCCAGTGTCCCCATGTCCTCCTGTGCTTCTCTGCTGCCACCCTCACCAGCCTCAGCCCAGTCCCCTGCCCTGGAGCTGGGCCTGCCACCCAAGCCCTGCTATAAATAACCGTTCAGGCCCCACGGGTCACAGCCCACGGTGGGCCAGCCCTAGCCCGCCAGGCCCGGAGGAAGCCAGTGGCCCCTCACAGGTCTCAGGCCAGGAGCTCCAGGGAGGAAACGCCAACTTCCCACTGATAGCGGCCCCTCGAGTGGGCTGGCGGGCTGCTTCCGAGGGCCGCTGGGCCAGTGGAGGAGTCCCAGTACTCACAGGGGGGACGAGGGGAAACCCTTCCATTGTGCACGCCTGTAACATCCAGCCGAGCTCGGAGCCTGTCAGATGCCCTGCGTCGGTGGGGGCCAGCGCGGGGCCCCTCAGGTCGGGGTGCCCCGTCGGGGGGCTGGATGGCCGTCGGCGGACGCAGGGCTCAGGCCTGCCCCCTGAGCTACAGGAGCCCTGGGTGAGCCCCCTCCCTCGACATTGCAGGGCCAGCGCAAGTTCCTGATTTTATCGAAGGGCCTGCCGCTGGGAGATAGTCCCCTTGGGGTGACATCACCACCCCAGCCCTTTGCATAAATCTCTTGCGCTACAGGAAGTCTCTGGCCTGCTGGGGCAGGTGGTGCTCAAGGGGCTGGCTTGGGAGGCCATGGGGGCCAGGCCCCCTGCCCAGAGGAAGCTGGGGCTGAGAAAGAGAAAGGCTGCCCACCACCAGAGGCCCGGCCGCCCCTCGCTCAGGCCCTGCGGAGGCTCTCTGTCCCGCAGCCCAGTCACGTCGACTTCTTGCGAGGCCCCTATGTGGCCGATGTTTAGCTCCTTGGGGTCAGAGTGGTGGCATTTTGGGGCCTGTACTTTCTGGGGTAAGACTGGCTCTGAGCCCCTGACTGCCAGGCGGGCTGCCCTGTGGCCTGCACCCTGGCCGCCGGGTTCCTCCTGGTCTGGGGCTGGGCTCCAGGGCTCTTCAGGGTATGGCTGCTCTCCCCCTTCCCTCGGAGTCCCCTCACCTGACTTCCRCTCCATCACGAGGGTCTCCTGCCAGCTTCCTGAACCCCACAGCTCCTCCCAAATCCCAGGAGTCTCAGTTTCCTGACCCTTTGTCAATGCTTGAGTATTGGTTTGGTTTTCCTAGTTTATATTTATTTTTCTTCTCCCTCTCTCTCTTTCTTTTGTACTAAAAATTGAACTAACACTCCTTCTCTCTCTCTCTCTCTCTCTCTCTCTCTCTCTCTCTCTCTCTCCTGAGAATTAAACCCCGGGGCACTTTACCACCAAACCATGTCCCCATTTTTATTTTTTTATTTTTAGACATGGTCTTGCTAAGTTGCTGAGGCTGACCTCCAACTTGTGATCCTCCTGCCTCAGCCTCCTGAGTCACAGGGATTATAGGCATGTGCCACTGTCCCCAGCATTTACAAACCTTTCTTGTCTGTCCATCCAATCATTTCCCCATCCATCTAATTTATCTATCTATCTATCTATTCATTTATCTACCTATCAAGCCAACCATAAATTTATTTACCTGCTTATCCAACTGTTCACTAAGTTTTTGATTTATCTGTCAATTCATCTACCTATTCATCCGTTTATCTATCTGTTCATCTATACGTCTATACATGAGCCCATCCATCTACTATGTATCAGAACTTATTAGCACCATATATCCATCTACCAATCTAGTCATCCATTGGTCTATCCACCCATCCACCCATCCACCTATCCACCCATCCACCCATCCACCCATCCACTTATCCAACCCATCAGCCGTGAGTCCATTCATCCTCCCAATGTTAATTGAGTTCCAGACTCTGGGCCAAGTGCTGGGAAACAGAAAGGTATTGTTCTAGCTTCCTGCCTTCAGAGATCTAGTCTGGGGGGTGCAGAATGATGAACAGAGGCCTCGATTTTCACCAGTGACCTCTGGTGAGTCCACTCTGCTGGCAAAGAACTTGAGTATTCTTGTCTCTCCTGTGTCATCTCATCCCTTACCTAGGTCCCCTCCCTCCGGGGGATAGCCTGCCTCATTCCTGCCCATAGATTCCCAGGACCCTGAAAGTTCCTTCACTGTCAGCAAAGACCCGGGATTCGCAGCCTGGGGCTCACCTGGGGCTCACTGTGAGGTCACCCTCCCTTCCATCTTCACTGATTTTTTTTTTTTTTTTTTGGTATCTGCACTTGGGACTCTCCACAGGTCCAGGTCACAAGTCCTCAGAACTCCTAGGAACCTGCCAAGGCCCCTCCCTGTCTCTCAGGAGGGGGACAGCTGGCTTGGCYTCAGTCCATCCTGGCTCCTCACTTCCTCATCAGGAAGGCCCAGCCCAGGCGAGGAGCTGGTGGGGGATAAGGTCGTCCTCCCCATCATCCCTTCATCCATGCCTTTGCTCCCTGTKGTCTTACTCTGATCTGGTTTTGTGCGTGTTACCTACTCACTCATTACCTTTTATCCCGTGAAGCCCACCTGCTGGGCCGGTAAGGGRAGAGCGAGGGTCTTTGTGGAGGAGAGCACAGGAGAGGGAGGTGTGAGTGAGGTCACCGTCACAGGTAGGTGGCCTGGGAAGGGTGGGGRCAAGCAGTTGGAAAAGAACATGGGGACAGCGAGCTGCCGTCCTGGTGGCCRGAAGCAAGGCCAACAGCCCAGGGGCTTCGTGACCTGCAGAGCGAGGGCAGAGCTCTGCCTCGTTAGTGTGGGCAGGAGGCCACGTTTCCAGGAGGATTAAGATTCAAGAGGTCCAAGGGGAAGAAAGAGTCCCTTGTCCAAGTCTGGCCCAGGCCCAGGAGCCGAGGTGAGGCAGACCAAAGAGAGACCCAGGTGGCCGTGGTGGCTCTGAGGTAGACCAGAGCTCAGCAGGCACGAGGCCCTAGGTTCCGTGAGAGAGAAACCTCACTCAGGGCCGAACATTCTGGAAGGGGCCAGAATGCCCCGAGCCCTGCGCCCTGCGCGCTGCTCCCACCTGTGGCCACGCCACCTTCCCGCCCCTCTTCCAGCTCCGGCTCCTGGAGGACAACAGAGGCCTCTTCCCCACATCCCCGGGGACCTGCTCCTTCCCATTCCAATCCTTGGGAAGAGCAGGATCCAGATTCCCAGGAACTCCGAGTAGACCCTGGCGGTGGAGGTGGGGGTTCAGGGCCACCCCAGCCCGAGCCCACGAAGCTGAGCTTCTTTGACTTCAGGTGTTTTCCGGCTAGGTCTGTCGGGACGCGACCCATCCTCCACCCTGGAACACTATTCTGTGAGGGTCTGGCAATCCAGCAGCCCAGGGTTACAAAGGACGGCATCTTGTCTGCGTGCTGACAGGCCAGTGCGTCCACCCTCAGGCTCTCACCCCAGGAGATCAGAGACCCCAGCAGCGGCCCACAGCCTGCAGGGGCTCCGGCAGGGCTCACCGGGGAGGGAGGCAGGCAGAAGGAAGGGGGAGAGAGCAGGAAAGGCAGGAGCAGAGGGGAAGGGAAAGAGAAATGGAACTGACAGGTGCAGAGAGCCCAGAGAGCTGCCCAGGGCCAAGGGCGAGACAGGAGAGAACAGGCAGGGAGAGGGGAAGGGAGACGGGCGGGGGACAAGAGGCAAGGTGGGGGACACGGACAGCAGAGGCCAGGAGGCGGCGGCACCCAGGGCATGGCCCCAGCCTCCTTCCTGTACAGTGAGGCGAGTGGGAGTCGGGGTCTGTGACTCGCCAGACGTCACCAGGTACACCTTGCCAGAACGTGGCTCTGACTCGTTCTGGTCGGAAGGAAACTGGCTTGGAACCAAGAATCCTGGGGTCTCCAGGGAACAGAGGAAGAAAAAATGTTTTCATTATTTTATTTTTGGGATAGATAATACAGACATGTGGTACAAAATACCAAGAGCACAAAGGTCAGCAAGTGCTCAGTTCCTCTTCCACAGAGGGTCTCCCCTGTTACCTGGTCCTCTTGTGTGCATTTAGAGATGGTCTAAGCAGACATAAGCATGTAGATAGATAAAGTCAATTTTCTATTTTATACAGAAGGAATCACACTAAACACATTACACTTCCCCTTGTTTCTTCCCCCCTAAATCCATTCCACATTAATGATTACAGAGCTGTCTTGCCCTTCTTAAGGACTGTATAGTATTCCACTGTTTAGATGTACAGAAGGTCTCTTCCTTACGATGTTCAATTTAGGATTTTTTTTTTAATTTTTTTAAAGATTTTATTTATTTATTTATTTAGTTCTCAGCAGACACAACATCTTTGTTTGTATGTGGTGCTGAGGATCAAACCCGGGCCGTACGCATGCAAGGCGAGCGCGCTACCGCTTGAGCCACATCCCCAGCCCAAGGATTTTTTGATTTAATGGTTCGACTTGGGATTTTTTGACTTTACGATGGTATGAAAAGGATGTGCGTTCAGTAGAAATTTCTACTGAAGTTCTTCAAATGTTGATTTTTTTTTTTCCTGTTTCGGGGATTGAATCAAGAGGGCTTTACACTGAGCTGCATCCCTGGTTCCTTTTTGTTTTTGAGACAGGATCTTGCTAAATTGCTGAGCTGACCTTGAACTTGTGATACTCCTGCCTCAACCTCCAAATAGCTAGGATTACAGGTGTGCACGGTGCTCAGCTTGAATTTTGAATTCTGAATCTTTTTTTAAAAATATTTATTTTTTAGTGTAGTTGGACCCAATACCTTTTTTTTATTTATTTATATTTGGTGCTGAGGATCGAACCCAGGGCCTCACATGTGCTAGGCGAGCGCTCCACCACTGAGCCACAACCCCAGCCCCAGAACTTGGAATCTTTTCTAGGGCTAGTGATACACAATCCGAGACTCTCCAGATGCTGCAGTGGCAGCCACCACAGTCCTCGGTCACCACAGGATCTTGAGGGTGAAGGCTGAGCTACAGTGCACCGTGTTACTGAGCTGGGACGTGCAGTAAGTCAAGTGTATCAATTGCATTTTTGACTTAGTTTACCAGGATGCAGAGGAGCATCTGTGATGTTTTTGGGGGGACAGTGTCTTGCTGTATTGTCTGGCTATCCTCGATTCTTACCTCAAGAGACCCTTCTGCTTCAGTCTCTAAGTAGCTGGAACTATAAGTGTGTGTCCCCTCCTTAGGCTGTGAGATTTTTAAATCATGAAAGACACATTCATAAAAAAGGGCACATAAAATATTTATGTACAATTTAATTATAAAGCTAACACTATGTGAACATTATCCAGGTCAAGAAATGAAACATTGGGCTGAGGATAGAGCTCGGTTGGTAGAGTGCTTGCCTCACATACACAAGGGCCTGGGTTCAATCCCTAGCACCACCACCAAAAAAAAAAAAAGAAAACATTGCCGGGCATGGTGGCGCACACCTGTAATCCCAACAGCTCAGGAGGCTGAGGAAGGAGGATCTCAAGTTTGAGGCCAGTCTGAACAATTTAGCAAGACCCTAAGCAACTTAAGAAGGGTTGAAGGTGTGGCTCAATGGGAAAGCACTTGTCTAGCATATATAAGGCCTGGGTTTGACCCAGCACTGGGGAAAGAAAAAAAAAAAAGGAAAAAAATAAATAAAATTTTAAAAAATAAATTAGGAAAAGAAATAAAAGATTGTCAGGACCCAGAGCACCTCAAACATCCCCTTACTTCTGTCCTAACTTTTTTTTTAGAAATTATTTCCTTACACTTTCCCGGCTTGGTACGGTGCAGAACCGGGTCTGGTGCGTGCCAGCCGGGAGCCCTCCCGTGAGCCACACTTCCACTCCCACCCCTTACTTTTCTTTATGAGCATCTCTAACGTGGTAGCTTAGTTTTTATCTGAACAGATTTGAATCTTGAGAGGAAGAGAAGGATGCTGTGCCCAGCCTCTGGGGTCCGGCTTCTTCTGTCCCAACCTGCTGTGTTCACTCTCATTGCTGGACCCTTTTCCAGGGTCCTAATCTCTGTAATCAGTCCCCTATTGATGGGCACTGGGTGTCTCCAGTCTTCTGCTGCTGCAAATAAGGCTGCAACAAGAAAATGTGGTGAATTACACACGTGCAGGTTTATACATAACAGGCTTATGTTTAGGATAAGTTTCCAAAAGTTGAATCACCAGGTTGAAGGGCAACGCACTTTTAACTTGATGACAGACCCGTAAGTAGATAGCTATTGTCACAGTGACCTTAATAACACTGCACCTCTTACCCTCCTACCCGCAGTGCCTGTCGGTGATCTTTCCCCACCCTGTTGGACAAGTGGGTGACCTGCAGAGTGACACGGAGGCCAGGCAGGCCTGGGGTGGGGTGGCCCTTTGTCCCCACTGGGCTGGTGGCCCATGGGGGTTGGCTGGGTGCTAATGCAATTGCAGGGTGGGTAAGCAGCAGGAAACGGGCAGGCGTCCCCAGAGCTTGAGCCCACAGAGGGGAACCTGACCCCAGACCTCACAGACCCCTCACCCTCGGCCTAAAAGAGCTGGGAAGTGAGGAAATGTCACCCCTCCCATTTTCCTATGAACCGTCCCCCAGGAGCTGTGACAGCGCATGTTCAAAAACGCAGGCCTCACGCCCAGGGCTGGGAAAGTCGGCCCGACCGACCGAGCTGAGCCTGGGCCGGGAAATGGCGTGCACCGAGATGACTGTCTTGCAACTTCCTCTCAGGGTTGAGACACTTGGGAAAAGGACCCTGGGGCCCCAGCCTGGGTCACTAGGGCCCCTCAGCTCTCCCCAAACTTTGGTCACAGCACTGCTGGCTCCTTAGAGCATGAAGATGGCCAGCAGATATTGGCAGGGCCTTCACATGTGGCTGACAGGGGAGGAAGGCCTTTGCCTCCTGGCCTCCAGGGTGCCTGCTCTCCGGCAGGAGAGGAGCCGGGGACACAGTAGATGGCGTGTGTCCCTGCATGCCAGAAAGTAATGGCCACTAGCGAGGAATCCCATGACGCTGGGAAGGGGGATCCTCGCAGCTGGGAGAAGCCTGGGCTGGGGCACAGCAGGGAGGGCCTCCTCCAGAAGGTCACCTTGGAGCAAACCCTAGAGGCAGCTGGGGGAGGGCACCCGGCAGTGTCTGGAAGAAGAGTTCCAAGCAGGGCCCAGCTAGCGCCCATGTCCCAGGAGGGTGAGGTGGTCCCTGGGAACAGAGCCAAAATGGCAGGGGGTGAGGCCAGACAGGGCCAGGTCGGGTAGGACCTTGAAGAGGGGAGTGTGGGATTTAGTTTTAACTCCAAGATCAAAGGGCCCACTGCAGGGTGCGTTCGCTCCTATCCGAGTCTCAAGCTGGTGCCATGGTACAGAGGCGGCCACTGAGGCTCAGAAGTGGCTCAGTCAATCCAGGCCTCAGGGAGATGCACACTCAGGTCTGCCTGAGACCTTGACCCTCGCTGGCCACCACGGCAGATGCTCCTGAGGCGCAAGCCAGGCTGGCCCTGACTGAGCCCCTACTGTCTACCTGCCTTGGCTCCTTCCCCTTCCTTGTTCCTGGGGGGCAGACCTGATCAGTGCCACCTTACAGATGGGGGGATGCAGCCCAGGGAGGTGAGGGGGCTTGCCCAAGGGCACGAGGCTGGCAGTGGGGCCAGAGCTCCTGCAGAGTGGCCCGAGGGCCTGTGTTCTGGAGCTGAGCCTGTGGGTCTCTTGCGGGTATTTCCCCAGGAGTCTTCCTTAGCTCTCAGGCCTCTAAGCCTACGCTGGGCCTCCAACACGGGGAGCTGGCAGCCTCCCCCTCCTCCACCCCACGCAGCCCCAACCCCACCCCAGCCAGAAGGCGCTGCTCAACATTCCCAGAACCTCTTTCTCAATCTCCCACAGCCTTGGCTCACAGGCCCACGGCCCTCCACACCCCAGGGCCTCTCTTTCAAGGCTCACCTCCTTCAGGCTGCCTCCTCAGACTGCCCCCTTCCCGGTTTGCCCCATCTTTCCTCAGTCTCTCCTTCCACTCGGGTGCCCCAGCCCTGTAGCCCCAGGCACAAACCCCCAGAGCACCTGCCTCCTCAGAGTCCTGCCTCCTCAGAGTCCAGGCGCTGGGATTTGAAGCCCCCCCTCCACCACACCCTTGTCTCGGGCTGACCAGGCCTACAGATGGGGCGCTCACCTCCTGGCCACATCACTCAGCCTCCGGCACCTCAAACCCACCGCCACCCACAGCGACTTCCGTCTGCTCACCACGGGCAGCACCACACCAGCTCACTGAGGAGGAGCTGCTTCCCCACCCAGACCCTCCTCTGTGGAGCCCCCTCTGCCCTCCTCTGCCCTCTAGGTCCCCTGGTCTCTATGCTCACCAGGATCTTCCCCCCAGGGATTGGCCACAAGGCCTCTGGGGGGTTCGTCCCTCTCTCCAGAGCTCAGGCACCCTGTTCTACAGGTCCTGGAGCGGTGCTAGGTCAACTAAAGGCTACTCTGTGCAAGTCTTTACCTGGTATACAGTAGGGTTCCAATTAGTGCATGTTGGAACTAAAGTCCATCCTCGGTTGGCCTTTACAAATGCTTACTGAGTCCTGCAGAGATCAGGTCTTCACCTCTGAAGACCTTAAATACTATCCCTGACCCTCCTCTCTCATTCTGTGGCTGAGGGCAAGATACTTCTTGGGGCCTCAGTCTCCTCATCTGCAAAATGGGAACAATGGGACACACCTCATGGGCCTGTGAGAACGCAGGTATGATGTCTGTGCGTGACTAGGTGCCCGCCAGAGGGAAGGAAGCTCAGCCCTGTCCCCAGGGCTCAGCATCTCAGTCCTCAGCCCCTTGGAGCTCTCACCCCAGGCCTCTCCACTGCTCCTGGGAAAAGCAGAAATGTGGGGAGCCAGGAAACTGGTAGAGCAGAGGCCTGAGACAGCCTCTCTGCCCACAGGCCCCACCACCCTGGGGGTCAAGGCTGCACGTCCCTCTCACCCTCCTTGAGCAACCAGCTATTGGGAGGAGAGCCAGCCCAGGAGAAGGGCTGGGGTAGGGACCCTATGGTAGGACAAGCAAAGCTCTTTGAAAAGAAAAGAAAAACAAACAAACCAAGAGTTATTGAGTTCCGCTGTAGGCTCAGAGGCCACAGCAGGAGTTATCTCCATTTTAAAGACAGAAACCAGCTCAGGGTGGGTGCTTCCACGGGCTCCAGGCCACACAGGGACTAAGGGCCAGAATCGGTATTTAAGCCCAGGCTTGTCTTACCCGCAAACCTGAGCTCGGCCCAAAGCTGCCTTAGGTCTATGAGTGTGGAGGAGGTGAGCGGACTCTAGTGGGCCACTGAGATGGTCGCCGAATTCATCTTGGAGTCTACGGGGCCCAAGGTCAGTGCAGAGTGGCCCAGAGGTCTGGCTAGGGCTGGGGGTAGCCAGGGTGCTGGAGCAGGAGGCCAGACCTGGAGGAGTTAACTGCATGAGGGGCCTGAGTGAATCAGAGGCTCCGCAGGCTGCGATGGAAATTCCCTGTGCATGGCGTGTGTGGTCACCCAGAAAAGGGAAACGGTGCTTTTCGGAGCAGAGGACAGCGGGGGCTGGAGCCCGGGAGCAGACGCCTGGCCGGGTGGGGCTGGCGAGCGGATTAGGACCAAGGAAGCCTCACCTCTGGGTCTGTTCCAGGCCCTAGGAGAGAAGTGGAGGTGAGGAGCCACAGGCCAGGCAAAGCCTGGTCGTGCTATGGCATGTCCATGGGCCTTGACAGATGGGCAGGAGTTCACAGCAGGGACCGGCCCTCCAGGCCATGGGAGCCGAGAAGCCAAGGCACGGGGCTGTGACTCAGCCCTGAGCCCCCATCACCCTGCTCTTGCTGGAGAACTCCTTCCTGTCCTTCAGGGCCCATCCCAAGTAGCAGCGCTCCCCCCCCAGGCAGCGTCCCACGGCCTCAGTTTCTCCCTTGAAGCTCACAGGACTTGTCTGAAGTCCCCATAGGACTATGGGTTCCCCCAGGGCAAGGGCTGAGCCCTAGCTGTATAGACAGCTCACACCCAGGACCAGCCTGGCTCCAGGTTTTTGTGACAATTCACAAAATTGAAATCTGCGGCTCAGAGAGGAGAGGTGGGACTCCGTGGACCAGCTGGCTGCGGCAGGAGGCGCTCACCCAGGGGTTTCCCTCGGCGGGATGTGGCCAGAGGGAAGGAATGGGGCAGGGCCTGTGGCAAAGGCAGGGGCCAGTGGGCACCCATGGCGGGGCCAGGGAAGGCCATGTGGCCCTGGGGTCCGAGGCCTGAGCTCCAGACCCCTCTGCTCCATCCTTGTCACAGTGCTGGGAAGTGTCCACCCTTCTGGGAGAGAGACTGAGGTACACAGTGGAGCCAGGGGTCAGAAGAGCGAGGCCGTGGGCTTAGATTTTCCTTGTGGAATCTAGAATCTCAGTCCAGACCTTTTAGCCGCAGACCCATGGTCCCCCCGAGCCTCAGTTTCCATCTTATGACGGAGATGACAGAACAGGCCTTTTCTGAGGGGAATACAGACGGAGGGGAACTGTCAACCTCGTGTCAACGCGAGGGACACTGCCACCAGGGATGGTCATATGCTCTCTCTCCCTGTCGCTGCTGCAGCACCAGCCGACACACCAGCTCTTAAGCAGTGTTGAGCTGTGGTCTCCACCCTTGTCCATCTGTCCCCACCCAATCCGCCCTGCACAGGGGCCTACAACCCACACCTGCCTGATGAGGGGGCTGACAACGAGTAGGGTGATGGCCTCCCGACAGAAGCAACCCTCGGATACAGAGGAGCACACCCCATCTGCTGACCCCCTACTTGTCTGCTGTGAAGGTCAAAGGCACCCAAAGGAGCCGCCCTCAGGCAAGGGCCAGCAGCATGGCGCCCACTGGGGTTGGAGCTTTTCCAATCCTGAAGGGGAACTGAGAACTGTGGGAATGTGCCTCGTGCAGGCGGGGGTGGGCTGGGTCCAGTGTGTGTGGTGGGGGGGCGGGGAGCTGCTTCAAGGAGCTCACGCTTACAGGGTCCTGGGGTAAAGAGGAGAAGCGGAGCCCTGGGCAGGTGGCTACGGGGTTGGGGGTCACCGTGGGGTAGCTTCAGGTTGTCCACGCTGGCCAGGCAGTAGGAGGTTGGGGTGCTGTGTGGGAAGGAAAGAGGAAGCCATGGGGGGGCACTGCCGGGGATGGAGTGGGAGTGGGGGCTGGGGGCCTGGAGCCACTTTGGCCACAGCTACTTCACTTCTCTGGGTTTCGGTTTGTAAATAGCTGCTGGCTCTGTGCAGGCAGGATGGGCCCTGTCCCTTCTGTGGCCTGTGTCCAGGGAGGCCCAAGTTTCAAGAGCTGCAGATACTCAAACAGAAATTTGAGGACCCAAGGGGGCTTCGAGCCTATTAGCCTTTGGCCTGGGTGGGTGGGTTCTGGGGTCCACCCTGGGCAGCCCGACCTGTGGTCACTGAAGTGATGCAGCTGGGCCAGAGTTCTGCAGAATTGATGACTTGGCCACATGGGACTTATTTATAACTGGGCCTTTGTGGCCAGAAGCAGCTGCTGTGCCGCAGACTCAGCACTCAGGCTGGCCGCGGGCACAGGATGGTAAGGGCCAGCCTGGCCCAATGGCCCCTCAGCCTGGGCCTCAGGATCTGTGGGACCTCTGAGGCCTCTTTGGCTGGGCCCAGTCCCTGTGCTATGATGGTAGATCTTGGGATTTAGGGGGAGCTCCTCGTGGGGCAGGCATCTCAGAACGTCCTGGACCAAGGGGGTGGCTGATTCAATCAGTGGACTGGTCAGGCCCCAGGGGCTTGCTTGGGCCTTGGCCTTTCTGCAAAGATGTTCCTCCTCCAAAGGCCAGACGCTGTCAGCAAACTCAACAAGAAGCAAAGTCATCTCCCCTCCCTTTCTTGCAATATCAGCTTAAAACAAAACAAAACAGATTCAGGAAGACAGCAGCACTGAATCCCAAGACCTGACCCTAATGATGACCCTCTAGGCAGACTGACAGGTGGGGAAAGGCACAGGTCTCCAAGGACCCCCGTGTCACACTCCAGGGGCCTCCATCCCCTTAGCAGATGGGAAGCCGGGCCCTGCCCCCACCCTGCACATGACCACCAGTCTTCCTTTGATGGGGTGTCAGACCCTTTCCTGGGGTTTGCCGGGATGAAGAGGTTCCTACAACCTTCCTCCCATGTTTGCGTCCTTCTGAATCAACTTGTCGCCCGCTATGTCCCTCTGTCCCTCCACTCTCTCTGTTCACGTTGGTCCTGGCCCCCATTGCCAAGCCTTGTTTCAGCTGGCCCCCACCTGGCATGTGCTCTCCTACCCCCTCCAGCCTCTCCAGTCCCCCTCCCTAGGTCTTCCCCACACCCCACCTGGGAGGCCCAGCCTCAGTGCCATCCCCAGAGCTTCGCCTCTTGGGAAGTAAAGTTCAATGAGTGGGCAGAAATGGGCTAGGATTCTCCCTCCTGGTGCCATGTACTAGAAAAAGAAAAAGAGGCCTGAGTGGGTGAGAGGTGGCCAGCGGGCGCTCAGCTCCAGACAAAGCCGAGCCCAGAGCCACGTGCCCTGACTCCCAGCCTGGAGCTCTCACCCCTGGCCCTCTGGCCTCCTGGACCACTGCTCGGCCCTGCCTGGCCCCTTCCCCTTGGTGGAAGCTGTTGGGGAAGGAAGGGGTAGGGGCTTCATGTGGGGGGAACTCAGGCCATCTACTGCCCAGGTCTGGGGCCTGGGGGGTTGTGGGCCCACTTCGGCTCCTCTGGGCAGGGTCAGGGTGCCCAGCCTGGAGCCGCCCTGGCTGCAGCTGCCCCTGTTTCCACATCGGCAGCAGCAAGGCCGGCGCCTGAGAAAACAGGAAGCGCCCAGTCACCACAGGAAGCATGTGTGCACTGCCTCCCCACCCCCGGCCCATTGCAAAACGCCAACAGCCCCATTACCACAGGCACCGCACAGGGGCTAGGAGAAATGCTCCTGCCACCTTGCCTGCCGAGGAGCTGGACAGACTCCCCCCGTGGGCCAGGCCTCAGAGCACTGTCCAGCTGCGACCTGGAGGAGCCCGGAATCTACCTGGGGACCAGAGCCTCAGGCCTTCCTTCCTCTGGATTCTCAGCCCAATTCCCAGATGGGCCTAAGCCAGGCCTACTTTGGCTACCCTTTAATCCAAATACGGGGTCAGGGGTCACAGAGAAACCATTCTGTGACCTACTATTTGGCATTTGAGGGCTGCCAGGCCTTCAGACATGACAAGGCCTGTTCCCAAGCCTTACTGAGGCGTTGACCCAGAGCTCTCCACCCCACCACCCTAGGGAGCCTGCTGCTGCCAAATCCACACCTGCCTCACTCTCTGCCCAGGCAAGACGCTGCCTGCCCCCGAAGGTCCTGCCTTTGAGAGGCTGGGTCCCTCCCCTTCCTCCCCTTGCTGCCCAACTCACCTCTGTTTCTGGCCCCTAGGCCCAGCCCTTGGAAGGAGACGGGAGTCCAGCAAGGTTGAGGCYGGGTGCCTGGGAGGCCTGTGTTCCTCCAGCCCCGGGGGACAGCAAGGAAAAGAGAAGAGAGCAGAGCATTTCATGGCTATAATAAATCAAAGGGGGAAGTCAGAACAGGAGAAATAAGAAACTTCCCTAGCCTGGGCACAGGGACCTGCCAGGCAGCAGCCCCCAGACACCCCAAGGCCTTCCCTCCCCTTCCCTCGTTCCTCCTGCCTCCCTAGCTAGCACCCAGATCTCTCCTCTGGCGCAGGTGCCCCACCTGCCCAGAGACTCTCCCTGGGCATCCAATGACCCTGTTCACGGTGATCCCTGGACCAGGTGCCTCTGTGCTCAAGTTTCTTCCTGAGAGGCACAAAAATCCCTGGGTCGTGCTGGTCTGGGGACATGAATGTAGGCTGCCCAGCAGAGAGGCATGAAGATAGTGACCACTATGAACCAAAGACCCTCAGAGGACGAAGGGAGGGGAGGGGCATCTGAGATTTGCTATGAGACTGTCGGGACTGTGAACATGTGTCTGTGGGAGAAGAGAGCACTTCTCTGAGCAGAAGCTGGGCTGGCCCCGGACAGTGACAACAGGCAGGGTCTCTACTCAGCCCTGTCCCTCTTCTTCTCCCAAGCCCTGGGGGCTGTGGTCCACAGTGCTCGCACGGGGTATACACAGCCACAGAACAGAACCACGGCCTGCTGCCCTGGCCTGGAGCGTCCACTCAGGTAGAAGACTGAGAGGGGAAATGTTTTAAAAAAGGGTCGGGGGATCCCACTATTAAAGAAAAGGTTGAGGGGCTGGGGATGTGGCTCAAGCGGTAGCGCGCTCGCCTGGCATGCGTGCGGCCCGGGTTCGATCCTCAGCACCACATACAAACGAAGATGTTGTGTCCGCTGAGAACTAAAAAATAAATATTAAAAAAAAAAAAAAATTCTCTCTCTCTCCCCTCTCTCACTCTCTTAAAAAAAAAAAAAAARAAAGAAAGAAAGAAAAGGTTGAAAACTTGTGTGAGTTTCTAGGTAACATCAGAAATTTCAGACAGATTTTGGCTAGTTTTAGGGCCACTATGAACCATGTCCCCTACGCCCCTGAGACATTCCTCCTGCTCCCTGGCTATCAGCAAGCAAAGATGGAGGCTCCAGATGCCTCTACTTGAAGCTGTCCTGAGGTGGTGAGCTCACTCCCTCACTCCAGCTCTCTGCTCTCACTGAGCCACCTCTCCTGATGATATCTCCTAAGTGCCATCAGCCTGAAGCTCTTGGGAGGGTGTGGCAGGCATGGGGACACCCTGAGGCTCTGTTTCCTAGTCGGAGGACAGGGAGCACACCACTGTAGGCAGTGACTACAGGAGTCCAGGCTCTGGAGCATGTGTAGTGGGTGACCCTGGGCAAGCGACTTCACCTCTCTGAGCCTCAGTTTTCCCCATTCGAATGCCTAAGTCGAAAGTCTGCAATGAGGGACAAATGAGAGGTTGTGGAATGGGGCCTCGGGTGATCGTGTGGCCAGCATCACACCACAGTCCCCCTCCTGCCTCCTCCCAGAAGTCCCCACTTCCTCCCTCTGCTCCCTCTCACCTGCCTGAGTCAGGTGAGAACCTTGGCTCGCTTCTGTTCTCTAGCCCCCCAGGGCCCCTGGCCTCACCCTGACCCTTCCTAGTCTGGGACAATGCTGGAGCTGAACTTCTCGGCTCCCACCCAAGGGACTCCCTCCTTGAGACAAAAACTTGGAGGCCCCAACTTCTGCCCTGGCAAGGGCTCCTCCCTTTCAGCCAGGACTGTTTTAACAGCTGCTGGATTCATCAGGCAATGTCTTAATTTTTGCATCTGCAAGATTATCTGCCTTTCTCAGATGAGAAGACTGGGGTTCAGAATGGCTGGTGCCAGGTCCTCTGGCTAGAGAGGAGCAGTTTTCAAATGAGAACTCAGTTCTCCAGTCAGCCAGCCGCACAGAGATTCTATGTGAACCATAAGTAGAGTGGTGCCTCTTCTCATCTGGAGAGCAACTTGGAACTTTTGGAGGGTCACTACCACCCAGGCCCTTGGTCACTCGGCTTCTCAACCGTAGCACTCTTCCAGATTCTCCGACTTCTCCTGATCCAAGCTGGAGAATGTCAGAGTTGGAAAAACTCCAGCCTCAGGYGCCCATGAGAACAAAGAGTATAAAATCCAGAAGGGTGAGCAGCCTCCTGGTTTATGCCCTTGGCTCCCCACCCTGGCCATGCACACAGTGGGCCAGTAGCACTTAACCTCAAAAGTGACAAAGCAGCATTCCCTGTGGCTAGAACGGGGACGAATGTTTGCGGGTTCCAATCCCAGGTCTGCATCTGAGAACCGAGTCACTGGATGAGGGACTTGACCCTAATGTGAGGAGAAAAATGAGTCCCCTGGTGTGGAGATGCTGCAGGAGGGACTTTGGCTTCCAACAGCCCAGGGTTGGTCCCCCTCCTTGCACACTCTCAGCTCTGACCCGGATTACTCCCACTCCACAGGTGAAGGAGGTCGGGGAAGGAGGCTGCTCCAGGGCCTTCTGGGGATGAGCCAGGAGGTGGCGGCTGGCCCGTGAGTGGCTGAGTGCCTCGCGTGCAGAACAGGACCACAGCCCTGATCAGAGGCCTGTTCTCGCCGGCCCCTGTTCTATCCCAGCGGCGTGGGGGAGGGGAGATGGGGCTCCTACCCCCATTTTCCCGCCGAGATAACCGAGGCGTGGAGCCCGGCTGTCACTTGTCCCGAGCGGGGCGGTAGGCTGGCCCCCACCCCCACCGTTCCCCCGGCTCCCGGGCCAGGATGCCCAGCTGCGGGGGGGGGGCGGGCTCCGCCCGGCGAGGTGCGGGGGCGGGGAGGCGGCGCCCCGCACCGTCTCGCCGCAGGACCGACCTCGGCCCTTATCTGCTCGGGCAGCTTCCGCCCCCGCCCGCCGCAGGCCAGGCCCCGCCCCCGCCTCCGGAGCCGGACCCAGGGCCCAGGGGAGCCGAGCTGCGGCCGCTGCTGCCCAGCCGAGCGCACAGCGCCGGCCCCCAGGTGGGCAGCGGAAGTGATCACCCGGGGCGCCCCCACCCTGCCCGGGATGCCCACCCCAGCCCCGCGAGGGCTCCCGGCCAGGCCGCCCTCCCCGAGTGGAGTGGGAGGGGTCCCTTGAAGCCCCAGGGACACGAGGAGCGGGTCCGTCTATACCGGCTCTCGGGGGCCCAAGACACCCCCCCCCCACACACACACACACACAGTGTCCACTAGCGAGGTCTTCCGAGTGGGAGGGGAAAGAGAAAGGTGAAGACACCTGAGAGAAAGTGAAAAGCAAGCCACAGACTAGGATGTGAGCCCTGCACCAGGGGGGCGGGTCCACCCCGAAATCCATGCAGAGTTCTTGCCCATCTTGCAGAAAAAGAGCAAGGGATCCAAGAGAAGCACGGACAAAAGTCACCAAGAGGCAGAAACAGAAGGGGAGACACATTGTCCAATAAACATCTTAGGGATGCTCAACGTCCAGTGAGGAGGGAAATGCAAATGAAGACCACCTCGAGATGCTATTTTACACCATTAGAAGGGCAAGAGTAACCAGGCTGGCAGCACCCAGAGCTGGAGAAGAGGCGGGGCACAGGAGGGCCCTGCGCTGCCAGTCAGAGCGCAACTCCAGATAACCACTGGGGAAAACAATCTGCTTGTACCTTACAAAACTGAAAGATAGCAGAGGCTGTCACCCAGCAAACTCTCCCAGGCATAAAATCCAAAGAGGCTCTTGCACATACTCTGAGAAACACACACAGACCAGAATGTTCACAGCTGCATGTTTTTGAATAGAGTGTCTGGAAATAACCAAGTGCCCATTAACTAGAGTGGATAAATAAATTACAGTAGATTGACTCAAACAATGGCACACCCTTCAGCAGAGCAAGCAAAGGACCCACGTGGCACACAACATCAGGAGTGACCCAGTACCATAGTATGCAGGGGAGAAAGTCAGTCCCTGAAGACAGGTCTCCTTCTGGTGAAGTTCAAAACCAAGCCAAATCGTATCTTTATAAATAATAGTGTGGTTCCTTCCAGTACTTTTGCTATTAGCGGAGGAGATGATTATCCTGAGTCTAAAAGACTCAAGGCTATCTGTTGAGAAACTATTAGAACCCTGAAAATGAAATTGGTTTATAAGGTATAAAAGGAATACATCAAGGGGCTGGGGCTGGGGCTSAGTGGTAGAGCACTTGCCTAGCATGTGTGAGGCACTGGGTTTGATTCTTAGCACCACATATAAATAAATAAAATAAAGGTCTATCGACAGCTACAAAAATAAATTAATAAATAAAGGAATACATTGAAATAATCTGCCTTCTTGTATACTACGGAGCCATTCAAAGTGTAATGGGAAATGGCTTTTCAAAATATCCACAAAAATGTAAAATAGCTAGAAGTAAATTTGTTAATAATTATTCAGGACTTCTAATATGAAAGAAAATTGCAGAGCAGTTTAAAAAAAAATAAGAAAAGCTAAATCAAAATATTGCCTAAACATACATATAGGTGTGAGAAAACAGCACGAGGGTGTGACTCGGTGGTAGGGCACTAGCCTAGGATGCATGGGTCCCCCCTCCAGAACTGGAAAAGAAAGAGAAGGACCAATCAGATCATTCCAAAATTCAGGTTCCCTCAAACAGGAGTCAAGGAGATTGGGGGTGGGGGGCAATAACAAGTGAGCAAATATGTAAAGAAACACAGAAATTAAATTAAAAAGAGCCCCGCAAGGGCCAAGATGAGAGTGGCATAGATGCACAAGGATGTCACACCAATTTGCCTACCTGTGATGGGCGCCTGGGAAAGGGAGGACTGAATGGATGTGTATAGACTTTTATTCAGAGTGTGGGCAAAAGCTTGTCCGTTTTCCAAGAGCCCATGCTGGCAGGACAAAGAGGAAGCCTATGGATAACAGGGCCCCAAAGACACACCGGCACTGAAGGTCTTCAGGCTGCGTGAACCAGGAAGGCTTCAGGGAGAAGCAGGATTTCAATTCACAAAGCAGGTGAAGAGCACTTCCCAGGCCTGCCTGGGGTGAGATGGGGGCTCCACTACTTGCAAAAGCAGAGAGCCTGCCTTAGCAAGTAGTGTGAGCTCTTGGGCATCATGGAACCCTTGCTGAGTGGCAGGGGGAGAGGCGGGGGGCCTGCAGAGTCACTGGGCAATGTCTGGTTCAGGATTCAGGAGAGGAAGCACCCCAGGAATGAGGAGGATGGCCAGGCCACTCCAAGAACAACCTGAGAAAGGTTCCAGAAAGGCCTATCCCTTTCAGAAAGGCCGAGTCTGAGTCCTGGGGGAGAGCGTGCCTGTGCCTCTTTTTGGCTCACCTCTCTGAGAGCCAGGTGCCTTTCTGTAAGAGACTGCCACCTACCTGCTGATCCCACAGAAAGCCCTGAGACAAGAAGGTGGGCTGCTTTCTCTTGGGAGGCTACACTYCGGAAGCATTCTCACAGCCACTGTCTGGTCAGCAGGCTCAGGGGTGGTCCACCTTCTGGGAACCTTTTCGAGGGCAGAAGTCTTCTTGCTCCCCAGTAAAGCTGCCGGAGAAAGGAACAGCATTTAAATCCAGATCCAAAGGAACAGCATTTAAATTCAGATCCAAAGGAATAGCATTTAAATTCAGATCCAAAGGAACAGCATTTAAATTCAGATCCGGGCATCCCAGAGTGGAGTGAAGAAATGGATTTCCAACTTCCAGATCCCAGACACCATGCAGAGCCACACCATGTCTAGGCCCATCCTATCATTAGGCCCATCCCATCACCATCCCACCAGGAAATCCCTGAGGCCCCCAAATCACTTGATAAATCAGAAAATGCTCATTTGTACTTAGCAGGGAGAGGAGATGGTGACCCCACCCTGACTAATGTATCTATTCTTTTTGTTACTTTTACATTTTCTTTATACCCATATATTCACACACCTAAAGAATATTAGTATGCTGCCAGGTGCAGTGACACAGGCCTGTAATCTCAGTGACTTTGGAGGCTGAGGCAGGAGGATCAACAGTTCGAAGCCAGCCTCAGCAACTAGAAGAGGCCCTGAGCAACTTAATGAAAACATGTCTCAAAATTAAAAAATACAAAATGGGATGGGGATATGGCTCAGTGGTTAAGTGATCCTAAGTTCAATCTCTACAGAAGGARAAGGAGAAGGAGAAGATTATTATTAATATCTAACCTTTCTATGAAACTTCCCATTTTCAGTCTTAAATGTTTTGTGTGTATTCATTCATTTAATCCTCACTACAATCTAATACAGTAATCCATTTTAAAGATGAGAAGGCTGAGGTATAGACATTAAATAATTTGCCCCCAGAAATCTGACACCAGAATCTTTTTTGTTGCACTTTAAATTTTTTAATTTATTCTACATTTTTATTTATGATCATACATAACAGTGGGACTCACGGGTGACATATTTCTACTTGCACATAACACAATTTGGTCAACTTCCCTCCCCAGTAACCTCCTCCTTTCCTTCCCTCCTCTCTCCCCCTGAACCTCATCCCTTACTCTACTAGTTTACATGAACTCCCTTTTAAAATTATTTTTTCTCTCTAGCTTCTACATATGAGAGAGAACATACAACCCTTGACTATCTGAGTCTGGTTTATTTGCCTCAAAATGATGCTCTTCAGTTCCATCCAGTTTCCTGCAAATGACATAATTTTGTTCCTCTTTATTACAGTAGATTTACTCAAACAATGGCACACCATTCAGCAGAGMGGGCAAAGGACCCCTGTCACACCTCAGGCTGATCTTCTTTTGAGTTTTCTCACACATATATGTATGTTTAGGCAATATTTTGTTTGATTTAGCTTTTTCTTATTTAAAAAAGCTCTACAATTTTCTTTCATATTAGGAGTCTTGAATAATTCCTAACAAATTTACTTCTAGCTATTTTACATTTTTGTGGATATTCTGAAAAGCCGATTTCCCATTGCACTTTGAATGGCTCCGTAGTATACAAGAAGGCAGATTATTTCGATGTATTCCTTTATTTATTTATTTTTGTAATGTTGATAGACCTTTATTTTATTTATTTATATGTGGTACTGAATTAAAACTCCTTGGTGTCATATGRTGATTCCATTCCTGTTCTTTTGAGGAAMCTCCATACTGATTTCCATGATGGTTGTACTAATTTACAATCCCACCAACAGTGTGTAAGTGTTCCTCTTAATCCACATTCTTGTCAGCATTTAGTATTACATGTCTTCTTGGTGGCTACCATTAAAACTGGAGTGAAATGAAATCTCAGTGTACTTTGTGTGTTTGTGTGTGTGTGTGTGTGTGTGTGTGTGTGTGTGTGTGTGTGTGGTGCTGGAGATTGAACCCAGAGCCTTGCACATTTGAGGCAAGCACTCTACCAACTGAGCTATAGCCCCCAATCCTGAAATCTCAGTGTGGTTTTGATTTGCATTTCCCTGATTGCTAAAGACGTTGAGTATTTTTTCACATTTTTATTATCATTTGAATTTCTTCTTTTGAGCCTAGCCTGGTGGTGCACATCTGTAATCCCAGCTACCTGGGAAGCTGAGGCCGGAGGATTTCAAGTTTGAGTCCAGATTGTACAACTTAGTGAGACCCTGTCTCAAAATAAAAGATAAAACATGCTGGGCATGGTGGCACACACCTATAAACCTAGAGGCTCCGAAGTTCAAAGTTCAAGTTCAAAGCCAGCCTCAGCAACAGTGAGGTGCTAAGCAACTCAGTGAGGCCCTGTCTCTAAATAAAATACAAAATAGGGCTGAGGATGTGGCTCAGTGGTTGAGTATCCCTGAGTTCAATCCCTGGTACCTCCCCYCAAAAAAAGATAAAACAGGCTGGGGCGGGGGCTGTAGCTCAGTGGTAGAGCACTTGCCTAGCATGGGTGAGGCACTGGGTTGGATCTCAGCATCACGTAAAAATAAGTAAACAAAAATAGATATTAAAAAAGAAAAGGCTAGGATGCAGCTTGGTGATAGGGCCCCCTGGGTTCAATTCCCAGTACCACAAACAAAAACAAAACTTTTGAGACATGGCTGTTTAGTTCATTTGCCCATTTATTGATTGGGCTATTTGGGGTTTTTTTGGTGCTAAGTTTTTTGAGTTCTTTATTCTGGATATTAATCCTCTGTTGGAATTGGAGCTGGCAAAGATTTTCTCAGTTTTTTGTTTTATTTTGTGCTTTGTTTTGGTACTGGGGATTTAACCCAGGGGCGCTTTACCACTGAGCTACATCCCCAGCCCTTTTCAATGTTTCTATTTTGAGGTGGGGTCTCACTAAGGGCCTTGCTAAATTTCCAAGGTGATGCTCCTGCCTCAACCTCCGGAGCTCTAGGATTACAGGTGTGCACCAACACCCCGGGCTTCTCCCATTTTGTGGACTCTCTTCACACTTGCTCTTTTTACTGTGTAGAAGCTTTTTAATTTGCTGCCATCCCATTTATTCAGCCTTGGTATCATTTCCTGAGCTGTAAGAGTTCTCTTGAGGAAATCATTGACTTCACTTAGATGTATAGTAGTGCCCTATGCAGTTGCAAACTTTCTGACTTAATTCCTAGATCTTTCATGATCCACTCTGAGTTGACTTTTTTTTTTGTATTTTTTCTCTTTTTCCTGGTACTGGGGCACTCTGCCACTGAGTCACATCCTTACCTCTTTTTTTTATTTTTATTTTTTAATTTTTTTGAGAGAGAGAGGGGGGGGAATTTTAATATTTATTTTTTTAGTTTTCGGTGGACACAACATCTTTGTGTGTGGCACTGAGGATCGAACCCAGGCCGCACACATGCCAGGTGAGCACGCTACCTGAGCCACATCCCCAGCCCATCCCTACCTTTTTTTATTTCTTATTTTGAGAAAGTATTGTAAATCACCCAGGCTGGCATCAAACTTGGGATCCTCCTACCTCAGCCTCCCAAGTCACAGGGATTATAGGTGTAAGCCACTGTATCAGCTTGAGTCAACTTTTGTGCAGAGTGAGAGAGAGGGACCTAGTTTCACTAGAGACAGAGATACAATTTTTATATATAGCGAGATTTTATATGTAGTGAGAGATTATGAGATTTTATATGCATAAAATTTTACACAGTTACATAAAAGTGGATCATATACATATTTAAACATAATTTCTCTRTTATTATTACTTATATTTTGGTACTGGGGATTGAACCCAGGGGCACTTTACCAGTTATGCCCCCAGTCCTTTTATAATATTTTTAAGTTTTTCTCTAAATAATTTTTTTTAATTAAATTGCTGAGGCTGGCCTTGAACTTGGGATCCTAGTCAGCCTCAACTACTTAGTCTCTAGGGACCTCTAGTCCACTCTCTCTACTTCTGTGAGGTCAACTTCTTGAGTTTCCATGTCCAAGTCAGTATTTTAAACAGTGCACACGGGTCGGGTCTGCCAACTGTATTTTTTCACCTGATTCTCGTGCTTGTCTCTAACCCATTAGGGAGTCTGATGGTGGAGGTCCCAGGAAAGGGTAGTGAGTAGGCAGCAAGTGGCATTTCTGGGGGGGTCTTGCCCACTCCCTTGCCTGATGACCAGAAACCCTCAGCCCCCAGAGGCAGGAATGCTGACAGTGTTATTGTGAAATCATTTGCATATTGTGAAGTGCTTTGCATAGGACGGAGTGATTTGCATAGAGGGGCATCTTAGAGGTCCCAGGGCAGCATCACTGAGTGTCTTCTCCTCTTCTCAAGAATCTAATCCGGGCTTCCATTTCAGAACTCAGGAGGATGTCCTGGCAGAGCTACAGGCCTGGGAGGGGTAGACAGGGAACTTACAGAGGACAAGCTGCCCACCTGGAAGAAGCTGGGGGTCTGGGAAGGGCAGACATTAAAAGTATGAAGTAGGACAGGCATCAGATGCCAACTCATGGGAGTTGAGTGTGCCCTCAGAGTCCCTCAGCAGAGAAAAAAGTGGGGAACAACAAATAGGGAGGCTGAGAGATCCCATGGGAGGCTAATGAGGTTGAGACTCAAGAGACCCCAACTTTGTCACAATCTCTGAAAAAATGCAGTACCCACATCCCCCTTCCTGAATACTCTCCCATGCTTTCTCTTATGCCCAGAGAAAGATGCAAAGTGGAACAGCCAGACCACACTCGCACTGCTGTTCAGGCTGAGAAGTTAGACGTGCTATTACATGCTCTGGGTTGACGGACACCCAAGTTTCAATTCTGGCTCTGCCATCAGTGCCACTGTGTTACCTTAAGCTAACAGTACCCACCTCGAGGATCAAATGAGAATTGGGTGAGGCAGTGCAGAGAGAATGGCACGGAGTAGATGTTCAGTAAATCTTAGTTACTGTAATAATTACTATAATAATTGCTATACAAGACTTCAGAGTTCAGGTCTAGCGGCTGCTAGGTGAAGGGAGCAGAGTCCTTGCCCCGTAGGTTTGGACTTCTGAGAAGCCACTATGCATTGGACCCCAAAGGGTTACAAGTCCTGGAGACAGTGGCCTGAGGTTCCCAGTGAAAAACCAAAGCATAAAAATAATTCGATGAGTAAGAATA